CTAATTAAACCACCATCTACAAATGGGGCGTTCCAAATCAAGGCGCCACTTCCTGTCCGAGCTGATGACGTTCCTGGATCGGAAGTAGCAATGAATGTGATGCTTTCAGATGGTATAATGAAGGTTTAAACTTTATTATGGATTATCATAATTGATTATAAATGGAATACATATGAATTGTATGGACTATTTTAATGGGAATGTACGTGGGATAATTCGACCTCCAACCCCAGTTTGATGGCAGGGTCTATGTTAGTTAGTTGGAAGGAGGATGCACTTGATGATGTCAAAACGTATCATTTTGGAAAGCTATGTGTCCAAAAAAACTGGTGTTTGGGAACATCAGCCCTAGCAGTGTAAACATGGGTATACCGCGGTATACCAAATGTTCATTTGAAAAAAGTGAACATGATGATCGACCATGACATTTGGGGTAATTACACATGTTTCAGACAAACCCGTATAAAGGCACATCTTTGAGACGCATGCGGTCACATGCTCACTTTTGCATTTCTGAGCATACCTCGCATGGCATGATGTTTCCCCGTTTCAAGTTGAGAATGCACACTTGCGGATCTCTGAGGAATATGATGCTACTTCAAACCCAGAATCCTGGACGCACACCTGCCGGTCATCAAACAGGCATTGGGAAATCCATGCAAATCCCCTACAATTCCCATGATTTTCCCCCAAAGCTCCATGGCGCGGATTCTTCCCGCCTTGATCCAAGCTTTGTGCTGCCGTTCTCCCATCACGCACTTGCCCTCAAAGTCTCGGAGCCTGCAATGGGTCAAGTGGTTATGGATCCCCTGCTACGCGGTACCCAAAGTCATAGCTGGTGAAGGGATGGTGATTCCCCCATGGTAATTTCATAGGGGTTGACCCATCCCTAAGTCTGGCAAAATCAATGCATAAAAAATTAAAACACCCAGAAGATGCATTACCAGTCACCGAACCATGTAGGTTTGTCAAAAAAAATAGGATGCCATAGGGTACCCCCTGTACCCCCCCAAAAAAAGACCAGTGGTTGATCATTATACTAGTTGGTGCAAAACGGTTTCCCTAGCATGGGTGATCATAATCCCCAAGAAAATTAGGATCCGTATAATCCGTATACATCCGTATAATATCGTATAATCACCTCTATTAACCCATCAACAATGGGATTTTGGAGGTTTCCTAAAATAGAGTCATCTAGTTTAATAGGATTGTCCATTATACTGTAAACCATCCAGCTATTGGGGTACCCACATGAATCTGGGCACATGATTAGGCCATCTTGGGATGATTCCCCAAACATTAACCATGATTCCAGGATTCGGTCGCGACGTGAGGTCATGATGAAATTTGCCCAGATTATGGCTCAAATGATTTCTACAATGAGATGAAAATAATAGCTTCATTATTCTATTTTAGCATATTCAATGCTGACAATATCTGGTTGGTGCTTTCAACCCCTCTGAAAAATAGTATATAGTCAGTTGGGATGATTATTCCCAATATATGGAAAAATAAAAAATGTTCCAAACCACCAACCAGTATATGGCTACAGTGAGGAAACCCCTTTATGTTCATGGCTCCAATGGCCATCACGACTGGGGCCTGTCGGCATAACCTCGGACCAGCCCTTCATAGTGAGGGTTCAAGGCATCGTCCACGGCGCTGAAGACGTAGCGCACCTGGACAGCAGGGCTGCTGCTGTTAGGCTCCGGTTGAAGCAACAAAACTGGGATATGGTGGGTATGTAATGGGGATGTATGGGGATATATACAATGGTAGATTTACACCATGATGTACATCAGACATGGCGGGCGGCTGAAAAATCGCATTTAGTGTGTATTGTAGACAAGGAAAAACCATCCACGTAAATGGAATTTCCCAGCACGCTATGTTTGATTCCAAATGGTAAGTGGATTTCTCTGATTTAAACTATACAGTGTAGACATGTGTACACCACTTGCACCAAAATCATTGCAAAACATTGCAAAACTTAGAATTTGAAAATACAGAGTGGATCCAAACTCCATGTTTATCATTTGTTGTCCAAATCCTCTCAACGGCGTACCAAAATCATGTGGTTTATCAGTCCATTTCCCCATTGCTATTTGGCTATTTAGGCGGGTATAGTCCATGTCCTAAAACAATCTAAAACACCCATATGATCTTTAGTTTGGTATACAATCTACAGTAATTACTGTACTCTCTGGTAAATTCAGAAGGTAATGTGGAAAACAACGATGGTTTCCCCTTGATCATCAGGTCATGCGGAAATCATCTGGTGGACTGGTGGAATTTCCGCACCGTTTGCCAGGTGGGCAACAGTGTCCTGCTGATGTAGCCAACAACCAGCAACAAAAAGGTTGCAACCACAACACCTAGGACTAATATAGTGCAAAAAATATGAAACCATACATACCATACCCTATTGATGTTCATATTTAGCCTTTTATTTACACGCACCCTTGGTGTCACCATTTGGATCCAATCGAGGCTAAAAGTCCATCCCTATTGGGCGGTGTCTGACGCGATAACCTGATGGCTTGAAGCGTCGACGAAAATGTCCAAAGTTCAAGCCGTCCAATGTTAGGGCAATGATGAGCCATGCAGTGGTGGTTCATAATACTCTGAAATAGCATGAAACATGTCTATGTTTCACACCTCGGCCAGTAGGGTTATCTCCAATAAGAATACATAGATCAAACCGCAACTGGAAGCAGGGCCCATACTCAAGGACAGCACCCCAACACTCAGGACGTTTCTGCACCGCTGCTGGGTGCTTCACAAAAGATGAGCAACAGCCAACAGACTACTTGACACAAGTTTCGACCATCTACCACTTGTAAATTGGCTTTTGAATACCCAAGATATCCCAAGATATAATCATACACTTCTTCAATGAGTGAAACAAACCCATGAGAGTCTTCAGAATCATCTGTGTTCACTTGGCTAGATTACTAGATGATAGTTAATCGGATGTCCCACAATGGATTGTGGCTTTTCTATATTTCGCAGTACCCATATCCCCAAGCCGGCCATTTTTGGACACAAACGGCCGGCAGCTGCCTGCAATTCTGGGTACATTGCCTGGATCCAAGGGAGCCCGAGATATCCCAGTCTATGAGCATGGAATATTTGCCTCACATCTAGTTCCAAGGTACCACATTCATGGAAATACACTGAATGCAATTGAATGGATATCATTGGTGAATGTTTTGCTAGATGTTTTTCACTGTCTTTGTTGGAATCTTAAAAACACCACAAAATGAGCAGCACCCCCACAAAAAAAATGTGATACCATCGGTGATCTTTGTTTTTTGACATTCCTACAGTGCTACAGTATACTGGGTTGCCACCAACTCGCAGCGTTGGTACCGGGCCTTTCTCCGCTCCTGCAATACCTGACTGCATCCGAAAACCGATATGACCAAAGGGTGTCTTAGATCACGTACTGTAGGACAAGAAGGGGATATTTCATGAACTAGAATGGGGGTATACGGGTCTACGGGATGTAGATGGCTCAACTGCCATCTACAATGTATATAATTGGGACTTGAACAAATAACTATATAACAGTCCCAAAGTAATCTGGAAACTCTTATAAATCATCCCAACTAGGAGTGTACACAATCACAAACTACAAATTGGGAACGGTTCATTATTGTGGATCCGACAACACCTAGAAACGCTAAAGTTGAAATATCACAATTCACCATGCTGAAATAAGGTCAACTGGGGATGATTCCCTCTACCAAGCATCATTTACACTGTCGTGGTGAGGTCATTATAAGGGCATCTGAAGTACACCAAAATCACGTAAGCTTCCAATGGTGTTCTTATATCTTCATCAAATGTCATTGCATTGAAACCATAAGACCACCAACCAGCTTTAGGAATCTTATATATACATACAATTATACACATTTTTATAATATTAATTATCTCATAGTTGTGTTGACAGGAGAGCTCATTGGCCAATGGCAAGGTGGTGTTGATGGCTTGACCTGTTGGGATGCTACATGCTTTAATACTTTACGTGAAACCTTGTTAACATGTTCCAAGAAACTTGTCGATCATTGGAGACGTTTGCCACGGTTTGGTTCCAAACAAATGCTGTCTGAACATGTCATGGACATAGTTTCCTCATTCAGTTTCGCTTTCTTTGTTGATTGTTGGTAAACATCCAGACTCCAAACTATGATAGAGGATACTGCAGGACTGGAGACTACATTAATATCCACATCCCTGACACAAAAAAATCCATGGCTGGTGGTTTCAAGCCCAAACTTGCTCGCCCATAGGGGATCATCATCAAAAATATGGCAACAAAAAACAACTTGACATCGCCAACCATTCAATGTGTGTCATTTCCCTGTCACCAACAGGGAAATGTCACCGTTGGGTATTTAGCATTTAGCTCAACGTCAAACTCTGTATACTCTGGTCATCAAACGTGGCTTGCTGGACAAACGCCGGACTAAATGGAGGTTTTAATGGGATCGCCACGGTTGATTACCAGAAGGTATGCCAGTTTCTTTGGGTGTTTACGAACTATTAAAAAAAAAATAACTGACCAACACCTGCACGTGCTGAAACAAACACTTGAATAGGGCATAGTCTGGTTCACTGTAGAATTGTTTATAGCGATCCTCAAACTGGCAAAATCAAATACAGTTTGCTGCATATAAACAACTATTATAGGAATACAGTGGGATTAACTGAGTATATAAAATGTGTATACTGTAACCAACTAAACTGGAGATGCAATGTCAACAGTGTTGAACCGATCCGACATCCAACGCGGACAAACCTCCATCAAAGTGTCTTCAAAATTGTCGTCGGCTGAGGGCCTCAGCGACGATCAAATTTTCTCGATGTGAGGGTTTCTGCCACAAAGAACAATAATAATCTAAAACACGAGGCTTTTGAAGGTACGGTTTTATCGCCATAAGCATGTCTTTTGAAATCACAAATCATCACAAATCATCACAAATCTATACTCCAGTCATTCGCTACGAAGCACCAACAGGCACCAGAAATCAAGCATTACCTAGCAGCAAATAGTCTGCGCCTCTTCCATGTGCTAAAGCAATGTTGGAAACGCCAAATAACTTCAGCCGGCGGGTGAATTGCATGGGCCCTGCGATTAAAAGAATTGAGCTTACATCTGCACACGCAGACACGCTTGTTGTGTCCTTCAGATTCTGCACAAGTCTCTGGAAATGTCGCAACCCATGCAGTTTTAGCATGATGTGAAGCGATGCATTTTGCGTTTTTATCTTTACGGCTATAATTACTAGTAGTTCAAACACAGGGATACACAGGGTACGAATAGATCACAGCAGATACAGTAGCTGGTCAATTTCAGGAATGAACCGTCCAAATGTTGAGACAATTAACTGTGAGATACCCTGAGGCATACCCCTAAAAGCAAACATATTGGCCTGCCTTTCCAAGGCTTGTCTTCCTTCCAAGGCAACAAGCACCTAAAAAGTGCTTGTGGTTCTCAGAATTCCGTCAAGTTTGCAGAGAGGAGGGCAAGATCAATGTCAACCAGAGCTGATCTCAACTCCGAGAGCTCCTTCTTAGCATCGCCTTCATTGAAGAATTGCTCAAGCTTCCACTGATTCTGAAGCGCCGAGCCGTGACTGTTCAGCAAGCTTTTCGGCTTCTCCCAGCAGTAATGATGTAGCTTCTCCCAGCGCTCATTTTTCAGCACCTCAGTAACCTTCTTTCTCAAGGTTCTGATTTCCGCCAGCCGCTGTTGTTTTCGGTTCTCATATTCGGAGATATCAACATCCCGGCAACGGAGGCACCCTGATCGAGTCACTGAGAAGAGGTGGTAAGAATGAGCACGGTGAATCTGACCAAAAGGAGATACACCATAAACGTCCCTTTCACGAATCCGAGCAAGTATGCGTCGACACAGTTGAAAAACACGGCCCATGAACAGCAACTGAGCGATGAATGCTGCCCAAACCAGTGCGAAGACTTTCCTCTTGGCCAATCCTTTTAAAGCCTTCTCGACAGCCAGCACTTGTGCAGGAAACTTTGAAAGGAGACCGCAATGTAGAGCCATAGCTGATCGCTCAGGTGCTGAAACTGGGTGAGTCCCATTGTCTCGTCAATGTCTAAGGTTCCCTCTCCAAACACTACAACAAGTGCCTCTCTTCGAAACCAGTGTTGAATGCAGTTGTTGAAATGCAACGTCTTTGTTGGAAACATGTTGACAAAAACCTGGATTTGGAATATAGGATTTGGACTTCTGGTACGTGTCTGTGCGTGTGCATGTCGAGTAAACTTGGTGCCAAACCATGCACAACAGATGTGAGAGTGGCACGTTTGCTAGAACGTCACAGTTGAGCCAAGAAGGTATCAAGACAAACCAAAAGACAGCAGGTTTAAGCCCAGTGGTCCTTCCAATATTTGCGGGAAAAAACAAGTCAGTTGTTTCGCTGTCCATCCTCTCGCGCATCCAACGCCCCGCTTCTTGTAGAGTACCCAAACGAAACTGCATCCCAATTACTACCAAAACTTGAATCTGTTGTATGTAGATATCCTCAGTATGTAAATGTCCTCTCTGCACTAAAACTGAAAGTGGAAACCAGATCAAATACTAAAGTTCCAGGACTGAGCTCTTAAACGTCATCCACAAGCAACTGCGGACTCTGGGAATCTCACGGTTCTGCTCCTGACCATAACACAGAAGCAAACGCTGTTTTTTTTTTAACTTTCACCAAGTAAAACCAAGGAAAACCTACCCATGGACTTTCACCAAGGAAAACCTTTTTTTCTCAGCCATGGTTTCATGCCGGTATTGGCAAATTGGTGAAACCGTGGGCATGCGGAAGCGATCGGTTTTCAAAATTGGCGGCTGCGTGCGCAGTTTAATAGTTCTTGGTTTTGTTGGGCGGTGTTTTCATACCTTCCTTTCCCTAAAGCATTTTCCCACGCGTATTTATTGGAGTATTGTGTCCATTGCTGCCTGGGGCCACCTACTCTTCTTTTACCTACATCGAACGTTACTGCGGAATTAGGTTCATAACTAACCCGCCTAAGCGGGTCATTGTCATTGCTACGTAAAATATGCCCCGCTAGTCTAATTCGTCTATCTATTAACAGGTCAGAGAGCAGTTTAATTTTGCGACATTTTGTGATTGATTTCATGTTTACCGTTCATTTGTTGAGTGATTTGATGCCCTAAATACGTGGTTTCTTCAACTCTTTCCATCCTTTGCCCGTCAGGGACCTTTATCACATTATTACCATTCATTGAAATAGGATTGCATTTACCCCTGTTCAATTTTAAACCAAACTGTAGGGAAACCCTTTCGACCTCTGCTAGTTGCTTGTTTGCAGCTCTGGTACTTGTTGCAATGAGGATTGTGTCATCTGCATAGTATACCCGATGTATGGGCAGGGAACTGCTGGGGGTTCTGAAGTTACGTGGGTTCTGTAAACGGTATTTTACATCTTCATCTACTATAGACATCAGAAGGACAAAGAGATACGAGTACGGCGAAAGAGGACAACCTTGCCTTATGCCTGCTCGTTGTTTTTTAGTTTGTGATGCTCCATATTCGTCTTCCACAAAGAACGAAGCTTTACTGTAGCCATCTTGCAACACATCTATGAAATGCTCATGGATTCCTAGCCGTTGCAAAGCTATTCACAACCGGTCATGCTTTATCCGATCGAAAGCTTTCTCCCAATCTAGAAAGAGTAGGATCATGTTCGAACCTTGTTGCTCCGAAATATCTTGAAGTCTACTCGTCAAAAATATAGCGTGCGATGTACTTCGTGAAGGTCTGAAGCCATATTGTGCTTCGCACAAATGGTCTTCAAGTACGACTTGCAAACGTTTCCTGATCATGATCATATATATACATTTTGTAAATTGTGGTTAGCAAAGAGATAGGGCAGTAGTTTTCGGGAAGATCCGTGTTACCCTTCTTAAAGATTGACACAACCCTAGCACGAAAAATGCTTTCCGGCGCCTGCTTGTGACGCCACCAATGATTAATGATATTGAGGAAAAAGTTTCGGTTCTCTGCGTCCATCCATGTGAACAGTTCCATTGCAATTCCATCTGGCCCCGCTTGTTTGTTGTTCTTTGTTGTTTTGAGGGCTTGGTCAAATTCTAGTCTAGCAGCGTGAACTGTCCTACATTGAATTGGTCTTGCAATCTTTGAAGGGCATCATAGGCATAGTGTGTTCAGAGGGGTTGTTCCAATGCTTTTGCTCCAAATACGTTGCGATTGTTTCGGCTCTATCTTTCGGCACAACAAGTTCCCCATTCAAATCTCTTAGCATAATAAATTGCGGCTGCGGTTCTCTGAGGGACCCCTATGTGCCAGGTCTACTTGTGCAAACGTTACCGAAAACGAGGTGAACCGGCTTGGATACCACACCTCCGCTGATCAACTTGTACTCTTGACAATCCAGCAATCCATTGAAACCATTGGTGTGCTAAATGTGATGTCCAGATGTGTCCACGTCGCGATTCTTGGTTCTACTACCTTGAGCTTCCAAGTAGGTCGCCCCCCACCACAAAAAAAAAGAAATACCAGAAGGAAAATCTTCGATAGCAAACATGTTCGGTTGCTTCCAAGGCTCTCCCTCTCTCTCTCTCTGTATGTATACATATATATATATAACATTATATTACATGAACCACATTTAGATATATAACATGAAAGTGTAGAATATTGATAATATAGAGATAGATTAATACATAGACATAGACAATGGGATAGATACAGTAATCCCTGTGACCTATGAAATTCATCTCTGGAATTGGATGAATGTCACAGACATAGGCTTCAAACATGTACATAGTATCTATGTATATAATTGTACATATATATGTATATATATATATATCCATGATTATCCATGTCAATGTATCTAAATCTCCCTTGGGTCCCACCCGCCCTTCCTTCCAGGACTTCTTCCAGTGTTCCTTTGATTTTTCCCTTCCCTTTGCCTTTCAAATCTCCTGGGAGGTGGGTCGACCCACCCGTTAGCCACAAAAGGGGTATGATCCTGCTATGGGAATATAGTATATCATCTATAAAAGGATTATATATAACACTATAATTTATAGTGACTATAAATAATAGATAGGATGTAGAAACCGTACAACAATATAAATGGGTATCATCCTCGCTTAGTGTGATTGTAAACCAGGCTTGTGTCTACCAGTTCACGTGAAAGATGCATGACGAATTTGGGACCCTTGGTCAGTTGATGCAGGGGAACATCCCAAACTGCACGATCAGCTGCAAGTGTGCCTGGAACTTCCTACTTTCAACAAACCAAAGGGTTGTTGATCGACCCTCCATCTATAGCTTGGTAGGTCTCAATCTATGGATTTGACTTGAAAAAAACGATTTGGGTATCAGGGCGACCTGCATAGAGAACAAACGTGCCTTAGAACTCAAGATGTATTTTGTTTTCTTAGGTCTTGGGTTCATGATGGTTCATGCTTTGTTACATCTATATGGCTATGAAAATATATATATATATATATTTACATACACATCCAAGTGATTGTATATCAACAAATATAGGTAGATAGATAGATAGATAGATAGACAGATATGATAAGAAAGAAAGATAGATAGATAGATAGATCGATAGATAGATATACAGACAGACAGACAGACAGACAGATAGATAGATAGATAGATATACAGACAGACAGACAGGCAGACAGATAGATAGATAGACAGATATGATAAGAACGAAAGAAATAAAGATAGATAGATAGATAGATAGACAGATGATAGATAGAAATACAGACAGATAGATAGATAGATAGATCGATAGATAGATCGATAGATAGATAGACAAATATGATAAGAAAAAAGAAAGATATTAGATAGATTAGATAGATAGATAGATAGATAGATAGATAGATAGATAGATAGATAGATACATAGATATACAAACAGATAGATAGATAGATAGACAGATATGATAAGAAAAAAAAAGATAGATAGGTATGTATATAGATAGATAGATCGATAGATAGATAGATAGATAGGTAGATAGATAGATAGATATATAGATAGGTCAATAGAAAGATAGACATATAGATAGGTCAATAGATGAATAGAGATAAAGATAGATCGATAGATAATGATAGATACATATAGACAGATAGACAGAATAAAATAGATAGATAGATAGATAGAAAGATAGATAGATAGATAGATAATGATAGATACATATAGACAGATAGACAGAATAACATAGATAGATAAATAGATAGATAGATAGATAGGTAGATAGATAGATAGATAGGTAGATAGATAGATAGGTAGATAGATAGATAGATAGGTAGATAGATAGATAGATATATAGATAGGTCAATAGAAAGATAGACATATAGATAGGTCAATAGATAAATAGAGATAAAGATAGATCAATAGATAATGATAGATACATATAGACCGATAGACAGAATAAAACAGATAGATAGATAGATAGATAGATAAATAGATAGATAGATAGATAGGTAGATAGATAGATAGATAGACAGATAGACATATAGACAGATCAATAGATAAATAGAAATATAGATAGATCGATAGATAATGATAGAGACATATAGACAGATAGATAATGTAGATAAATACCATGAATAAATCTGCATATATATATATATATATGTATATATATATATGTATACACAATTGCAAAAAAATATATATATATTTATATTCACACACACAAACATGCTTATATATGGGTCAGTCCAAGAGAGAAATTTCAAACATCTTGAAAGTTTTTCTTCGAAGAACAACGAGTGCATGTTGCCATACGAGCTGAGTCCTTTGATGTTTTCAGGACTTTCCTCCAGCAATGACCTCAGTGGCTCAGCTTCTCAGTGGGCACATGATCTCAAGAACCCTTAAGGGAACTGGACACCCATTGGCTCAGCGTCTCGGGTTTAATGATTTTATTAATTTGGGGCTGACATTCACCGCCATTTCCGGGGTTCTCTCTCGAAGGGTCTGGAGCTTAAATGTCCATCTAGAAGGATCTCCATGTGGGTTTGTTGCTTATCAACACGATCAACTTCTGAATCAACCCATCAATCAACTACACAAACCATGAACAAATTCAATACATAATGTAAACACAGTCACCAAAACAAATGCCAAAAAAGTAAATTGTTACAATTTCAGTCGGGTCTTATTGTTTCATTTTTGGGGGGATGGCTATGTATATACACCCCTGATGTATATATATATATATTATAACTGTAAATATATTTAATTTGTAGATAAACCACAGGACCAACTCAACGGACCAACCATCAAGCGGTGCCGCGCTCAGTGGCTCCAAAGCCTCTTCCAACTCGCCTTTCGCACCTTTGCCACCCTTCCTGAGAGGTGACGGCATGCGAAATGTCGTAGATCTGAAATACTGATCGATCCTGAAACAGAGCAACGCGATACATGGAAAATCATTATTATTATATATATATATATTATATACAGAAAAATAGAAATAAATTATGTCACAGATCATTTAGTTCATGTTTGAAGATATCGGAAAATCATAGTTTTAATACGTGCAAATAAAGGTAAATGATCTAAAGAGCTGGATCCTGAGTTGACCTGGGCAAGTGTTTGTAAACATGTTTGTTCTTTGTAACGGTGTTTTAAGGGTGTTGTGTAGACCATGTTGAGCAACGAGTATCTTTGTCCAAGTGGCGAAGCTTTGCCCTTGCCATCCTTTCCATCACCTTTGGCTGCGCCTCCCTTGGTACCCTTCTCATCATCTCCCTTGGCGCCTCCCTTGGTACCCTTGGCGCCCTTCTCTTCGCCTCACGTTTCGACTTTCTCGGGTGAAACGGCCGCAGAACTCACTTGCTCAAAAACGTGTCAGTTTGAATGTGACCATTTGGAACTCAACAGTGCAAATGACCTACTGATATCCGTAGCCGAAATTATTGTACTTTCCATGGGCCTTTTGTGGTTCAGGAAAATCATCTTGCTGGTTGACTTCATGGCCGATGGTGATGATACCTTTGGCCTTGTCACGCTATCCCATGCTCAAATTTACAGGACCAATTTTAAATTGTGAAACCAATAAGAAAACAAAACATGCTGCAGTCAGAGGCCAGGCCTTTACCTTCGCTGCCTTTGCCGTCTTTGCCCTCGCCACCATTACCCTTCTCGCCACCCTTGCCCATGCGATCCTGAGCCAAATCCCACAAATCCAAGACCGAGAACTGTGGTTGCTGCCTCTAAAATCTGAATCATTTTGGATCTTCCCAACATAGCCAACATCAGGGAGGAAACTGAAACGACCGTTGGTTGAAACCAGCAACAGAAAAAACACAGCGCTCACAGTCAATCGTGATATGAATATGGGTCAAATGTCCATATCAAGTTCATATCAAGGAGTCAAGTCAGTCAATATTAACCATTTACAACATCTGATACAGTATTAAAGATATGGGCCAATTTTGGACAAACAGTCAGATCGGTCAATATTGAAATTTACCAACATCTGTGCTGCCCTGAGCCTTGACATTTGGATCCAGGCGGATATAAAAGAGTTGTCATGCATGTATACTGCACAACTGCCGACTCATTCTTCAGGATCATGTTTTCATTGTTCACCCATGTGTCCGGGTGGAATGTCTCATTGTGCCACACAACTGACAGCCTTGGTCTCCGAGCTTGTTGCAACCAGCAGCGGATCCATGCGATGCAAACACAGGCAACAAAGGAATGCAATGCTCTCAATGCACAGAAAATGGTTGTGGCTCATGGTATATTGTTGATCCGTCCCAAATTCCTAATGGATTGATCACAATCTATACAGATTGATATCATCCCATTAAACTGGTTTGTAACAGTGACCACATCCGATCATTGGTTGCAACCCTAGGATTTTTAGGTGCTCAACCCCCGACCTTTAGTAATCTAACATTAGTATTCTACCTTGTGAGCAAAATGCAAAGGCATAGGATGCAAAATGCAAATTCAACGTTTCCGACCTTTGAACTCTGCGTCTCCTACCCTCTGGTAATTTAACATAGCTATGGAAACCATGCCGCATTTAGTTCGATGGGTACCTATTAAAAATGGGGGTTGTCCATAGCCATTTCCAATCACCAAAGAGTACTCCATTAAGGGTGTGATGTTTGTTTTTTCTACATGATTCATAAACTACACAGTATCTGTGAACCAAATTTTGTGTACTGGATAAATTTATAGGCATCCCCTAAACATGTTTGAACATCATGGAATCCTGGATTTGTGTTTTTCTTCTTTGTCAATGTTCCTTCACTGTAACCGATCTGAAAACCCCTTCAACCAAACCTCCTCTTTGCCTACGTGATCAGCATCCCAGTTCATACGGGGGCTACCATCCCGGTGAAAAAGTCACAAATTCCTCATGAATTGGATCAGGCCTACCACGCTGTGTGTGTTTGTTCGCCAACATTCGCCAACTATTTCCGTCACAATCATGGAATTCTATGACCATGTTAGGTAATAGGTTTTTTTGTAAAAAACATCGCCACTCGAATTTACAATACGATCAATGACCATTTCCTCACTCAAATGCTCATTGAACCGACGGAATGTCACCCAGCCGTTCGGCAACTCACTTTTAGCCGCCAGTACAACCACAGCTGGCCACCAGCCGACGTTTTTGCCTCGGCTGTAACATGTTGCAGCCGAATTGAAGGGTCAAAACCCTCGATACCATATCCCTTGGGAATGATCATCCTGTTATACCGACCATAGTCTAAACACAAACCGGGATACACATATTTCACCAATCATACAAGTGTGCGATTTAACCAAATTTAACCAACCAAAAACTTCGTCTAGACTTGGATTGAGGGAACCAAAACGGGGACCTGAGCAACACATATGCAAATGTTTTTCACCCGCCAAAAATAATGAAAAAAAACAACAAAAGATGAGGAACTGACCCTATGAACGTAGTGATGAATCTACAAAAGTGGGGGTGCAACCCCTCACCGTCTAGAACACACGCTTATTTGTGGGGACCAATGAACGCTGGTGGGAACAACAGAGCGTAACAATTTGGCTCAACACAATGGGGAGCTGCATGGAAAGTAAAGACCACAGAAATAAAAAGGACAGAACCAGATAGAAATGGATATAAGTCAATCTTCCAGCCAGTTCTGACGCGCCATCCAAAAAAAATATTGGGAACGATTCGTCCGGGACGATAATGAACATATAGTGCACTTCCCAACATGGATAGACATGGGGTTCCTTGCGAATTAAGAATTGCTGAGCGCGAACTTTTGTTTAGATAGTATGGATCTTTGACTGTTCCGAGTCGGATGGTTCCATAAAAAAAGGTTTTACTTTGCAAGAAAGAAATGTTACATTGCGTCAAAAAAAAGGTATATGTAATGTATGCATCAAGGACAGTGATCCAATGGGTCTTGTACAATCTTTGACGCCAACTATGGATGTGTCTCCAATGTCTCAGATTTCTCCTTCCCGTCCTTTTCCTTTCCTCCTCTTTCTTCCCCCTCTTCCCTCCCCACACCCTCTCTCTCCCTCGCCCCATCCTCAGAGTGTGTTTGTTCCTTCCTTTTGCTGTCCTGATTCAATTGTCTCGCTGCTGGTTGGTTTTGCTTTGTTGCCTGTTCTGCTTTGCGCTCTTGCTCTTCTGCCTGCCAGGGTTGGGTTCCGTGTGCTTTCTCCCCCCCTCCCTCCCCCCATTTCCTTTCCTTTCCTTTGTTCTGCCTGCTTGTTGAGTGCTTCCCCCTGCCTGTTCTCTGCCTTTGTTGTTTTTCCATTGTTTCCTGTTGTTGGTTGTGGCTGGCTGTTCTTGTTCCCTCCCTCCTTCCTTCCTCCCCGCTTGTGCGTGTGCGTGTGCGTGTGCGTGTGCGCGCGCGCGTGTGTGTGTGTCTGTGTGTGTGTTTCCTGTTATAACAAACAGGCAGTTACAGGTCAACTGTTAACTCGTGCAATGCAGGGGGACAGAGCTCTCTGATGCTACTCTGTCCAACGAAGCTATGCATCAGAGAGGGAAGCATCCACTGGCCATGGATGTGTACCTGCAAATATTTTCCAACACGGTTGTTTACATGTCAAAGAATCCTGTGATCCTTCTTTCACAATACTGTTGGTTTCGACTATGCGTTAAGAAATTTCCTGTCATTTATGGCAGCTGGGCTAAGCCACAAACCCAGCACGCGGAATCTTTTGCATTAAGGATGCAATAACTCAGGAGCCCTCAAGGCGATGACAAGGCCTATCAACAGTACCTCCACAAAACCCCCCAATCTGCAGTATGTGCGTTTGCGTGTGCGTGTGCGTGTGCGTGTGGGTGTGTGTGTGTGTGTGTGCCAGTGGCGTGCTGTCTGTCATTCTGTTGGGTGTGTGTTGATGGGGCTCCCCCAATGTTTTGGGGTCAAGGCCTTTCCTGCTGTTGTTTGTGTTGTTGTCACTGCTGTAGTTGTTCCTTGTTGTGTGCTGTTTGCCCTGGAGATGCCGGTCGGCAGAGCTCCGCCCCTGTAAAGTTGAATGGCAGATGTTGTGTTGACGGTCAGCTGCGGCTGTTGTTTTGCCAGTATGCGCACGCTGTTGAACTCCACAACTGTGCGGAGACTCGAGGGCCCTGTTGGGACAAGCACACCTAAACTGTTGGCAAAGGTGTTGAACAAACAGCTGTTGATTTCAAACAGGCTGGCTGGCTGGCTGGTTGGTTGGTTTGTTGGTGGGTTGGTTGGTTTGTCTGTCTGTTGGTTTGTTGCTTGGTTGTGGTTGTTGAAGTTGTTGTGGTTGTTGTGGTTGTTGTTGTTGGTTGTTTTTGGTTGTTGCTTGTTGGTTGTTGGTTGTTGGTTGCTGGTTGTGGTTGTCGGTGTCGTTGCCGTTGTCTTTGTGGTTGTCTTTGTGGTTGTTGTGGTTGTTGTGGTTGTTGTGGTTGTTGTGGTTGTTGTGGTTGTCGTGGTTGTCGTGGTTGTCGTGGTTGTCGTGGTTGTTGTGGTTGTGGTTGTTGTGGTTGTTGTGGTTGTTGTGGTTGTGGTTGTGGTTGTGGTTGTTGTTGCTGTTGTTGTTGTTGGTGGTGTTGTTGTTGTAGTTGTTGTTTTTGTTGTTGTTGAAAGCAATGTGGTTAACCAAAACATAAGAAAATTCGGAAAAACATTTAGGGTGGGTTACATTGAGTCATCTCAAACAGAGGAATTATACCACATTTCATCTGATATACTCAACTCCAATTATCCTTGTTGGAGCGGGTTTAGTGGGTATAGTGGGTTTGCCACATTTGTACCATACTTGCATTTATATTCCATATATCCACCATGTTTCCTGGTGAACTCTGCATTTTCCAGGGGTTTTGTGACATCATTCTCCATGGGAATACACCATCGGATCTCACCCCCTGCCCCAAGGGACACATCGGTCAGTTCGGTTCCAGCGGCCACCTCGGAGCAGAAGATGGTGGTTGTGCGATCAATAGGTGAGAAATATTCTAGATATCTAGCGGTAACCCAAAATAAATGGGGCATATTATATAGTCTACAGTGGGTGATACTGATTCTATACAGTCTACAGTGAATGTTCTGAATTGTCTAAACATATTCAAACAAATCACCGCGAATAGGATCACGTGGCAATTGCAAATAGCATGTGCTTATCTATATGAATGATAATGTGGTGTTTATCATCCTAACTACAGTAGTCAGTGGCAGAAAAGAAACCACCGACCCAGGCTTGCGGTGATTTTCATCATGGATAGACTTCTTGATCATCACATACAGGGTGCCAGTTATATCCAGTTATAAGATAGGTAAGCACAAAAAATAGTACCTATAGTCATCGGAGGTATAAGCCGATTTAGGTGACTTAGCTATCTATGAGGCCTCACATATCAGTGTTTTCCCACTGCGGAAATTGAGGGGTGCCAGCAGAAGGTCTGCCAAATGAGGCGATGGAGATTATGGCATCCTAATTTCCCAGGACCAGTAGCTGGAAAAACTAAAATGTTGGGGATCCATACGCAGCAAAATCAATGACATTAAAATGAGGAGAAAAACCAATAGATAAAAATTAATGAAAGAAAAGGATAGCCTGACGATAATGGCCCAACGACACTGTGGACTCATTACATGAACTGGCCAGAACTATCATGCGCATGATGACAGTAGATGATCAGTACCGGCCGAAATGAAGGGCTGCAGCAGCCATGCAAGCAAAGCCAGTGCAACAGCAGCCAGAACCTTATGGATCCTTTTGTCGAAATGCCAAATACTGCTGACATAGGTTCATAGGGACCTTACACAAAAACATTGATATATGTTTATTTGTGTTCATAAATTTGATATACACATGACCCGGAAAACCAAATATTGAGATCCTTCCAAGGTTGTTGGCCACTGAACCCAGAAGTCGATTGGTGGTTTCAGCATGTCTTAACCAACAAAGTAAGATCAACAAATATATCTAAGCAAGGCACTGGCGTAGTTTCCCAAATTTATTTCCCATCACCCAGTCGGGTGCGCCTCGTTGGTTGCCATCGCAGGCTTGAAGCCCTCTCCGGTGAAGATCTGATTGTCCCTGGGTGAAAGCATGTGCTGCACAAAGGGTGATTTTAACGGGGATACAAAGAGAATGGAAATTTATAGGAAATCATGGAAATACAGAGGGATATAATGGGAATAGAAGCGCAATGGAATGGGAATATAATACATATATTACCAACAAAATCATTTTGGGGGGCTGTCTAAACTAAATTAAACTATGGGATATCACTAACAAGTGTTAGTTCGAAGAGAAAAATCATAACCAACCAGTTGGACTAGCAATTAGAACTGTGCGTGCCCTGTTGTCAGACAAAGCCATATTTATATACTGTTTTTAAAAATCATCATTTACATGTGTACATAAATATTTATTTATTTATTTATTTATTTATTTATAGGTATCACATATGTAATGAATAATAGTGTGTGTATGTACATACACATATTTTATAACAATATGTACACTATTACATTAAAGTTATTTTGTATGAATCTATAAATATATACATACAGTATTCATACAAATTATATGTATCATATATATATATATTAATATATATATATACCTATAATAAAATAAATTATATTAAACTATATGTATATATATAGGTATCACATCAACTATACTATACATACAGTGCTATATTGTATTCAAATGTGATCATATATACATATTATATCAAAATAATTACTGATATTGTATGTACAGTATACAACACTATATATGTGTTTACATATAACTAGATAAAATAACGTATTATAAATATATATATATGTTGTTGTGTGGAAATGACACCAACTGCTCGGACCTGCGATGTCAACTGCAGAGCATGAACACACGACAAACAGTTTGCAAATTCAAACATGCTCAATATCAAACAAAGGAGCAAACTGAACAAATGCACTAAGCCGGTGGCAAATGTTTTGCATTATGTCGCATGGATCTTCCATCAAGAACTCTGTTACCCACTATTATGATGTCTCTCGCTCTGAATACAAGTCGAACCAACCACCCTCCCACCACAATATGTCGGTCTAACTTTGAATGGAAAGTGAAAAGATCTGAAAAGAACATACCCAGATATACTCAGTGATAAGCGGAACAATCTCTATATGAGCAATTAAAAACAAGTGTAGTGCCGCTAGTTCCATACTGGAAGATAGCCTTTATACCAAGTCCCTGGCCCTGTGCTGTTGTCCCGAGAAAATCGAGCACCTGAGTTGTGCTCCGGGAAAATCAGTGTACATTGTACATATATATATATATATATATAGATATGCATAGGAAAAATAGCAGCTGGTGTAGTTGGATGTTCATCTCCTAAAATATGGCACCATAGGTAAAATGACCGATCCGCAAATTACACAAGCACTAACTGCATGCCATTAAATAGGGTTCCCAATGTCCAATCTTCAAGACCTGAATTCCTCAAGAACTGACTTCATCTGTGTATATATATATTTACACATTCCATTACCCACGCCAATCATGTGCATATATTGGTTCGCTACATGGCTGTCTCTGCTCATCCGCTTTGTCACCAAGAAATTACCTGCTTGTCATGCTCTTCCAGAGGAGCCATGCATTTTCCCATGAAAACAGTGCACATACCTTCTATGTAAAACAATATTGAAAAATATGATGTTTTTTCAAAATCCCAAATTCATCAACCTGCTATAGTGACGGTGAATAGTGTTGTGGTTTTCTAATACTACTAAACATGTGGATACCTTGGATGTTTAGCAGGAAATCCCATGGTTGTGGGGTCAAAAGAATGTCATATCTTCACCTGGCGCGTTCAGCTTGGGGACTCAAGGACTGGCCCGGCAGAGTTCTCCTCTCGCGGCTGGCATCTTGCTCCCATGTCTTGAATTGATATTGAACATGCTGTTTGTTCATCAAACATATCTGGTTGGTGGTTGACCTACACCATCTTGAAAAATATGACTTCGTCAGTTGGGATGATGACATCCCCAATATATGGAAAAATAAAATTCATGTTCCAAACCAACAACCAGTAATCATATATAATACGTGTTTATTGAGATGTATTGAGTCCTATTGAATCTAATTATTTTGGTATACAATATCCATGTTTGACATCCGCTTCAGCTCTATGCCTCCGGTGGTCACACAATCACACTTCGAAAAGGTGGCGGTAAGATGCACCAGTTTTAGGGACACAGTCGATTCGAAGGATTCATAAACCCTGGCTGCTTAATTTGAGCAGTCGCACCAAAATAGTGATTGTAGTCTTTTTTTGCTGACTTGACGCCCAGCCTCGACACTTCACACGCACCCAAGAGATAATGTTTAATAGCAACTGCCAAACCCACGGAACCAGGTGGATCTCAAGTATGATCGATTTCTATCGATTTCAAGTACTGTAAAACCACATGTGGAGAATCAAATGCTGACACATACACACATAAGTTGCTGACAATGTTTCCTCTGGCGGTCAGTTGATGCGCCTCCTGATTTGGATCGTTTATATATATATATATATATGTATATACTCATCTATGCAAAATCTTTGGTGGTCATTATGATCTGCATCAACACATGTATGTCGACCTCTGCCGGGTGAACCAAGAGTCTTATCAGCGACTCAGAAAAAGGGACAGACCAACAAAATGGACATCCAGGCCAACCCCTAAAAATCTCTCAAACCTCTGGAAACTCTCCAAACAAGATCCTTCCAACCCTGAAAACTGACCCAAACACGTGTCCAACCCTCCAAACTCAGCACTCACGAGAAACAAAAGAAACCAGTTTTCTGTTCTTCTAAAAATTGTGTGCCCCCCTTTTTTTGATTCCACATCATGTTTCCCTATGACCCCGGAGATCTTCCGGGCTATCCCATCGTATCAGCCCTGAGGAAAAACCGCTCCAGTAGATTCCGAAGACCACAGCCACTAGAAAGAGTCCCACCAAAATGAACATGCAGGTCAAGCCTGGCAAAAAAAGGGCCAATCTCGTGGCACTGCATCTCCGGGTGCATATGGGATGCATATGGGATATATGTGGGAATCATATAGGGAGATGTTTCGCAAACATGGCATGTCATGTGGGAATAAACACCATGGAGAAATAAAGCTTGAAATCTTGACTGATAAGGTCAAACAAACCACCCACAACCTGTGTTTGTCTCCTAGAATTCCAGATGTTTCCAAAATCTCGCAGAGCCTGGGGAGCACCTGATGACGTTCAATCAATGATGAAAGTATATGAAAGTGCCTTCATTGATTATGTGGGGTTGAATATTTACCAGCCACATTTTTGGACAAACCTAAATCTATGGAACCTCGCACCTATTCACATTCTGCAGCCTAGGAAAGGGAAATCATCTGCAGTAGCAAGCAATGAACCAGAATAGAATTGCAAAATGCAGCAGGGGACACCCTTAGATAGGTTGTTATTTGACTTGTAGGCTAAGTAGGCTGTAAACAAGACTAAGTCTGTTTCTATGTCTATAGTCTATAGATGTCTATAGTTACCATAGTTGGACCGGGGTTCTAAACCATCTGCAAGGCCCTTCCTTGTGGGGGAAAAGTCAGAAACAAACCTATATTATATGTGATTTGCAAAAAAAATCACCGAGAAAGCCACATGCACATGTGACGAGAATGACGCAAAGCTGCTCACATCACCACGGCTTGCCTCTCAAAGGAGGCAATTTCCTGAACCGGAAGCAGAAACTCTGCAGCAACAGGGTAGCAACACGACCAGGCCACTTGGCGACCACAAATGAGCTACCAATAGACCCACATACTGGTCATGTTTACAATACTCAGCCAGTGGCCACGGGTTCATATCTTGAAAGCCAACAAACACATGAGTATAATCACGGATGGTTTGAAATGCAGGCAGCTTACACACACAATTTGTGAATCCATTTGCCAGTGACTTCCTACCCGAAGCAACTTGTGAAAATCCTTTCTGGTACATTTGCCCCAGGAGTTGCGGACTTATGCAGGAAAATCTGTCGTTATCTGCCATTTGGGATTGTCTCAAAAGGCCACAGGTCCACGAGAAACATGCATTCTTAAACCCTGTGATGTTGGAGGTTTCAAAAACTTTGAGCCAACAACCACAATAACCAGACCTGGTATCAATCTAACCTTGCAATTCCATATGCTGCATGTATGGAATATGTATCAACAACCCAAAAAATCAGCCAGTATCCAGTTCTGTAGGTATACCAGCACCATGGAGCATCCTGGTGCCACTGGCGCCATGTTTCGCCACGCCTGAACAACGACAGGGGCACCAGAATCAATTGCCGCAGGGACCAGGAGACGTAGGCACGGAGACCATACCTCAGTGCAGCAATGATGCTTGGAAAGATGGGCTGTGAACGGAATCCTACACATATTAGGTTATTTTCTGGTTGGGGAAAATTGAATATCATGATTGACCGATTTCGTGGCAGATGCAATAATCTATACAGTTTGGGATAATGACCCAAGTCTTTATAGCTGGCCCCGAGAATCTGGGTTGGACCATAAGATTGATTGAATAACCGCAATGAAGCCCTTAGCTCTAGTGGGCCACATTGAATGTTTAGGTACTTTTAGCAAGTGGGTCATCTGCAGGGACGAAAGAATGACAGTGCAGATTGATGCCTATTGTCAATGTTGGATTCATCGGGTTCATCGGGATACTGAGATATAAGCCACTTATCACTGTTTCACCGCGAACAAATATCCTCCCATGCTAGGGGGAGACACTAGAATCACTAGAAATAAAGCGATGAAAGAAAACACACATCTGCAGTGGCATTGAAAATCCATCCCGGAAATCCACCTGGTCTTTTCCACACACAAAAAAGGTCAAAAAAGAACAATGTGCACATTAAACATCTGCTGAATTCTCCATTCAACCACAGAGTTGCCCAGAACCGAAATAGAAATCTGTAGGACTGTTTCGCTCCAGGATGAGATCATGATGAACCGTCGTTTCGCCAAAAACATGAATCAATTGGGATCATCATTCCAAGAGGTGGGACCCCCAGCTGCAAGTTGGTTTATAATCCTCTCCCCCTAATACCAAACACGCACCCCCTCAGGTAGTTTTTAGTATTGAGGGGTATTATTATTAGGGAACCAAAGCGGACCCTAATAATATATAAATTTAAACCCTTATTAAAAAACACATGTTTCGATTACAAAATCAATTAAATTTCCTTCATAACGCCATGAAAATATTGCCAAAAATTGGATTTCGAAGCGGACCCTGATTATAAATTTAAACCTTAAATAAAAACATTTTTTTCCGATTTCAAAATCATTAAAATTTCCTTTTATAACGCAATTAAAATATTGCTAAAAATTAGATATCGAAGCGGACCCTAATAATATTAATATATAAATTTAAACCCTTATTAAAAAAACATTTTCGATTTCAAACTCAATTCAGCTTCCTTTTATATCCCAATTAAAATATTGCCAAAAATTGGATTTCGAAGCTTCCCCCCAATATTAAATTAAAAAACCCTAAGAAAAAAGACTAAAATTCTCGGACACTAATAAAAAACACCCCGGGGTTGACTTTTTAAATTAGGGGGTGAAACCCACAAATAGTAGTTTTAGTTGTAAATTGTTTTCTACAGGGGATCAATTTAAAGTCAAATTGGCCAACCTGAAATTTTCCAAAATTGGAGATGGACCCTAATTTTTATTATTCGGGGGGGGGGTTTAGTAATAGGGGGAAGGGATTAATCCCCCTTAAGTAAAGATCTAATTCCCATGTAAACATATGTAAACCAATTTTGCTAACGAACTGTGGCATCACCCTGTGGTAAGAAAGCACACATAAACATATGGATACGTCCGAAATTGTTGCATACTGCCCAGATGGCGATTTTAACAGAAAAAATATGGACTGATAGATTTACGGGGACCCCATTTTCAGACACACGGACATATAGCAGTCGTAGCTCCACAAAAATAAAGGCAACATAACATCAACCCTTAATATTTAAGTATGTCTAATTATGTTAATGTATTTCAGTAGGATTGTTGATCAACCAAATCTTTAATGAACCAGATCTTTGATCTATGTTATATTATGTGTTTTAATATGTTTTAATTTATCTTAGTAGGATCGTTGATCCAAATCTTTAATCAACCAGATGATCAAAATCTATCATTTGATCCAAGGTACGGCACCAGCAAGAAATAGGCTAGGATCAACAGGAGCAGCAACACCACTGCAGAAACTGCAAGTCCTGACCGGCGAAGCACTGGAGATGGGGTTGGAAGGATTGAACCATATAAGAAACCATAGGAAACCATAGGAATATGGTATGGTCCATTTCACGAGCAAAAATGTGCATTTAACGGAATTTATAGCTGATTTGTGTTGGCTACGTTAGTATTGTAACTGCAATAACTAGGGTTTATGATGGTTTATGGGGATAATTAATATCTAGAGTTCACGGGGATTATAGAGCAACCAACGTCACTAGTACTAGGAGGCACCTCCTTCTATAACCTGCTGCTGATGCATCCAGCAGTGTTCTCGGGGATGATGCCATGTCTTAGCTGGAATCTAAGCTGGCAGTCTGGAACACGTGCCTTTACATCTGCAGACTCATATCATGGAGCCAAAACTCCGTGTAATCATTAACCTGCAACATCATGATCATAAACAATCAGAACCATTCCTCTGCCACAATTTGTATCATGAGTATAGCTGTCATTTAACACCAATCTTGGTAAACATACAACAAACTATGGCAAATCACTATTTTTTTTATGGGTATATAAATCAACTATTTCTATGGCCAGAGGGCCATACCCCAATGCTACTACTGACATTCGCCACCTGGAGGGGTCAGAAGCCAAATGTCTCCACGAAGATTTGCCTGGTGATCAGGCAGAGAAAATCACGGCCAGGGCTAAAGGAAGATGGGTATAACATGGTATATCTATGCTTAACTATGGACAATTGTGATGAATAATTTCCTTACAATTGGTTAGCGGTTAGTACATGTTCATACGAGGTATGACTGTGGATCTTTAACATCACAAGTGTGCGCTTTGTAGCTTATCCTGTTTTCTTGCTAATGATGTCAGTACTCTGTTAAGAATTACATGACTTCAATGCGTGTGTGAAAATGTGTCAAACCCATTCAAACGCAGTGGGACATGACCCAAAGCTCGATTGCAATGGCATCAGCAAGACTATGCAAGAGATGCTAGAATCAAACAGAGGCAGCAATTAGCCAAGATCATCCAAGATCAAAAACACCACTCAACATATCGGTCATCCAGAACTAACATGTTGCCGGAGCAACAAACTTGTGGCGTCCTGTTCGCCCATACCGCCACCAGCTGCATTTTCGCAGGTGACATTGTCCTTCAGGTTGCAAAATGAGCAAAAACTGCGGACTTGATTCAGCAGCTCTTAAAAGCCGGAGTATCGTATAGCTAAGCTACTTCTTCAGTGTCATTTCTGTGCATCACGATTTTGCTTAACCAATTGCACGGCTTGATGTGCACGGAAACTGTGACAGTGAAGCGCAAGCCACGGGTCCTCACCCAATATCCTCAGAGAAATGGCACAAATGCAATCGCAAAAGGGCCACGCAAGTTGCTCAAACTTCACAAGAGATCAACACGAGAAAGCTTCCATGATGTCAAAATTTAGATGTGTCAAACAATAAAAAAGTTCATCGCTGTTGGGTAAATCCCAGTTCAGCCAGTTGGAACCAAATCTACCTATTTCAAGCTGGATAAGACGTACTTATTTATGCATATTTATGCATCCAAATAACACAATACAAAGAAACTACCATATAAAATACATCAAACATGATTCCAGTGACCCATCCCTTACCCATGATTTACCAATGTTTACTGTATAGCAAGTCTTGTTGGATCTTGTTGGTCCCCGGCGACTATCCTCTACGTTTCTGTGTGACCGGGGGCGATGAAACGTGGAGGGTCGAGAGGTGCACACACTGACCTTTATGGATTTCCCAGCTGGTCCCTTGTGACCAATATGTAGGGGCTATGTGTCCGGTGTCTTGATGCACAACCTGTGCACACTTGTTAATTTGGTCGCATGACCTTGTATAGTAGAGAGTTTTGTAAGTTGCCTAGCCTCTTCATCGACCATCCTCTGTACAGGGTGAATCCAGTGGTTTTTTCCCGTGTGTCCAATGTTGTGGATAATGTCCATTGACATTTGCACGTTCAATTTGATGCCAATTTTGTTGGACTTCACCTTCTGGTTGGATCGGAAGTGTGCAGTTAGCAGGACATGCTTTCTTTGATTAGTTCTGAAGTGCAGGATGTCCTTTGACCTACGTGCTGTTGAGCCTTAAGCTCCTGGGAATTTATGTCTTCGTCATGACGAGTATTCGAGACGTGTTTGATCGTCTCCGCTAGGGCTCCAGCTCGTCTTCTATCTCTAAGTTTGCATGTGAGTTGTACTGCTTGCGCAGTACTCCTCCTCAAGATCAATCTTGTTGCATCTTGTTGGTTTTAGACATATGTCATATTTCAATATATGTCACAACTCCGTTACACCATGTCATCGCCCGGTTTCCGCTGCCAGATCTTCGCCCAAAAAAAAACACCGAGGCGCTGATCTTGCCCGGGTGCGCCGGACATGAAGAGACCATCCGAGGCGACTCGGAAGTCGCCTCGATCACAAGTTATGCAGGTTCTAGGTTGATATATATATATAATACACATATACATATTCATATATAATATGCGTCGTAATTAATTATTCATACATACATGTGTATACAATAACTTGACAAACTATATTCAATGCATTTGTTCATTCCTATGTTTTTCGATATTTGGCTGGGTCAATGGTCTTTGGGGTTCAAAAACAGCCAGAATTTGCTGGCCAAATCTACAGTTTGCCCATCTAAAATCATGATCAGTCAATCTTAAATCTCTATTCTCGCCGCTCCAATCAGCTTTAATCAGTTCACTCCCCATTGCCACTTTAACACTCATAAAAAAACTGATTGAACAATGAACATCGATGAACCATTTTTGATCATTTTTTGAACTTGCTGTACTAAAACATAAAAACCAACCATTTGTGAACTTATTAAAACATAAAACTATCATAAACCACCTCTACTCCTTTCAGATCTCCGTTTTTGCCACACATCTCCATCCCCATCATCCAAGCCGCGGCAGGGATCAAAGAAACCGTCCCCGGACGCCTGGCGACTGAGATTTGTGTCAGCTTCGTCGCCAAGAAGAATACTATATCTATATATCTGATTGGTGGTTTTAACCCCTCTGAAAAATATTAGTCAAATGGGATTCGTGTTCCCAATATATGGAAAAATATAAAATGTTCCAAATCACCAACCAGATATGTATATATATATATATGTACATAGATAGATAGATCGATAGATAGATTAGATAGATGTTATTATGCATGGTACTAGGTATATAGTGAACATATGGAGATACTGTGGTTCCAATATGATCGAAAAAAAAACATCATACAAATGTCATGCGCTATCGATGTAAGGGTGTTCCAGACTTTAGCAAGCTTCCCCATCACTTATTTCCGCATGGTCAATTGTTGGTTCCAATTCTTGGGAGCCAAGCGGTGTTGGACTGGTGTCTAGAATGAGTGAGGCAAACCATGATGATTAAGCATACAAACATATGCGAACTCCTGCGAACTGCCAACCAGATATGGAAGAGTTTCTGAAACTTTCGAACCTTTGGCAGTGCTCGATCTCACAGTGCTTAGCTGATGGAAAAGCCATGAAAAGCCACTCTTGCCTGAACCAAAATAAGCAACCATATTGCACAAATCAATTGTCTTGGCAGTTTCGGACAACCTCCAGAGAGTCATTGGTTGCGTTATGGAAGAAATCAATCCAACAAGCTGTGAGTTTGATCTCATGACGCCATCGGAACATGGTACATCTTTCCTTCGTGGTCCCATGTAGGGAGCTGATTACGAGGGGGATGGAAGATTCAATACATTTTCTTTTGCTTGGTACCAATGATCCTGGCTTCAGTTGACTACCATATTTTCTGGTTGGTGGTTTGAACCCCTCTGAAAAAATATGAAAGTCAGTTGGAGCATTATTCCCAATACATGGAAAAATAAAAAATGATCCAAACCACCAACCAGTTTTACATTGCCTTTATTCCCTGGGTTCATTGGGTTCACCCTACCTGCCTTGGGATACACAGGGATATCAGCCCCATTCACAAATTGGATAACCCCTACTTACCCTATAGCTGGGATGAACTGACCCACTTACGGTGGGGTTTCACCACTGAGTATCATGGCGCTTGGAATCAGGGAGGCAGTTCTAATTATAATTATAGTATAATTAACATCAATCATAGTTACACCATGGGGCAGCCATAAGAGTAACCTCAACTGCATCCTTTCTTGGGGGACCCAACTGGGATCCGAGAATCCGGGATTTTTGCAAGCCTCGTACTTGCAAGCGCCATAGAAATCCTCACAGGACTGGCGGCACAAGGGTAGAGAGGCATTGCCCTCATCACCTCGGACCGAGGACCCGCTGGAATCCCTGGGATCTACCCGCTGGGCATGACACCAATGGTGGCTTGAGAAACTTTGAGAAAGTTGGAATTGAACTAGGAGTCATAGGCCATCGTTGTGGTCACTTATGAATTTTAATGGGAACAGTTGGGGAAATAGGATGGTTTCCTAAAATGGGCCCCCAAACCATTGGGGAAACAGTATGAAAAAGCATCAACCATTCACTTGGATGATATCTTGGGGTCCCGATTCTTGGAATCTATACCATATGCATTATCTAAAAAAAGAATATACTGTAGACCCCAAATCCAATGTTTAGTCATCATACCCCCATGAAACCATTGCAATGACTGGGAATATCATGTTTATGCACACCTGTACAAATGGGTCAGCAAATAATACCAAGAGATGCAGTACCTAGAGGACTATGGATGATATGGTCGTTGGTGGTTACATAATGTACATAGCTATCCGTATATCCGTCTAATTGTCTGTCTATATGTCTATCTTCCTGTCTGTCTGCCAAAACTGGTCCAATTGATATTGCAATAATTTGCCATTATTTGGTCTATTAACCATATTAACTATACATTATCCATATTATTTGCCATAATTTGGGGCGCATTCGCCGTTTTCAGCCACACCCATCCCAACATTGTCTATTGGCTTCAAAATGCTTCAAATCTTCACCAGGCCAGAGTGAATGTTTGGGGGCCCACGTAGGTTTTTTTTTCCGGCTCTTGCTTCAACAATCTCCTAAAAACCACGGACTTTTATCATCTGGTTGGTGGTTTGAAACCCTCTGAAAAATATTAGTCAGTTGGGATGATTATTCTCAACAGATGAAACAATAAAAAACGTTCCAAACCACCAACCAGTCATGTATAATATTTGTATTCACTTATCCGATTTGATTTGATCATGGGAGAATCATGGAGTCATGGAGGGAAAATGAAGAAACGCTATCGCTTGAAGAGGTCCCAGCACGACCCAGCACAAGCTTTGCCGGTGATGTTTTTTGTCATCGCCTACACGTAAATCGAGTAACCACCAAGACTTGTGCTTGAAATCCGTCTCACCAAAGTGATGAGAAAACAAGAGGCAAGAGGCGGGAGCTTCAAATGCTCCTCAGTCAGGATAGGTCCAAATGGGAATCATCCAGCAATCACTCCAGAGTAGTCATCTGGTCCGGCGCCGGGTGCGCATGAGACGAAGATGGTGTCAAATTTGCAATGCGTGTCCAAAGGGCAGCAAATTGCATAGAGGGCCAAACGCGGCTGACTCTCATGTGCTGTGCCTGCCAAGTAGGAACGTTTGGATGTGCAGCACTTGTGGGTCTCCGCACAAGTGATCTGAGCTCCACCCTCTGGGCTGCAAGTTGCTGCACTGTCGTCGGCAACCGCAACCTCGTACTTCTTGTTGTCTTCAATCTGATGATTGATCAACCTAACGAACAACGAACACCACAAAATAACAAGCAACCCCCCCGTGGCTTTTCATGTTCCTTGGAGCTGAAAGTTGGAATGCATAGGTCTAAAAATGGTCCAAAAGTATCCAAAAAGAGAAACATCTCGAGAGTGCAACAGTCGTACCATGCTACGCACCTTTGAAAATCTTTGAAGTTGTCACTGATATCACTGCATGTTCAACAAAAGCTGGATTTTGCCTAAAAAGTTTATCTGTCCTGCATTCCGCACAAAGATATACAACACAATGACAAATCACACTAGGCATCTCAAACTCTACTCTTTTTGACACACGACCAACTGAACCCAAACAAGCCAAACAACCCAAACTGATATATATATATATATATATATTATAAATATGTATATGTATATATGTATATATATTTGAACCCAAAAGGTCGTGCAGCTTTCGTTTTGACCGCACAACCACAGAGAGTCACGATGTGGTGCCCGTGCCTAAAGAGACAACACAAACACCACGGACCACTCCCGCAGGAGGCAAATGAGGAAGCAACAGCTTGGACAACAAAAACACCAAAAAGAAAAGGCACCACAGGCCCACACACCTCAGGGACGGGTGGCCGAGGGGAGCCGAAACTCAACAGCACATTGGGTCAAATACTCGTGCACTGCCTAGTGGCATGACACTCGTGGTATTGAACCCAAAAGGTCGTGCAGCTTTCGTTTTGACCGCACAACCACAGAGAGTCACGATGTGGTGCCCGTGCCTAAAGAGACAACACAAACACCACGGACCACTCCCGCAGGAGGCAAATGAGGAAGCAACAGCTTGGAAAACAAAAACACCAAAAAGAAAAGGCACCACAGGCCCACTCCAACAAGTCAGAAAAAGGAAAGAACCACATCTCAGCCCACCATGACTTGTCCCTTTGCGCAGCGATTAACTTGAGAAAGAAGACGCTTGCGAAAAAGAGAGGCGAGGGGCTTGGAACGAGCCGGGACTGCCAGTTTGACTAGCGTAGCCCTAGCATCATCGAGGTAAATACGGGCGGTGGCTTGGTCTTTCCAACGTCCGCGGATCATGACGGCATCAAGGCCGTCCGTCTTGGTATAAAAGTAGGTAGCCCCTCCTCTTCTGATGCTGTACGGAACCAGCTGCAGGTGCTGCAGCTCAAAGAAAGCGCAAATTGCAGAGAAGCATTGACGAAAATGCGATCCTGAAAATGGCCACAGAACTTCGTCCGCGCCAAAATGAGAAAGTAACCAGCGCAGCAGTTGGGACAAACGCAGGTCAAAATGAGCCAAACTTTGCTGGGCAGAAGGAGAGGTCTTCGACGCAGCCAGTCGTAGGATGATTGAGCCGTCATCCAGGTTGCAAAGGATATCACCGCTCCGCAGAGCCAACGTCTCTCCAGTCCGGAGGAAAAAGACAAAACTCAGAAGAAAAAGAGTTGCTAAGCGAACCCATTTTAGATGTAGGCAGAGGCCGGTGAAAGCTTGGATCAAGGGCCAGGTAATGGGCGTGGCTCTTCTTGGTGTATGCTCACGACACCAGTTGTTGTACCACTGTTGAGAGATGGCCAGCTCCCTTCTTACCCGCGGGTAGAGGCGTTTGATCCCACTAAGCACCCAGCCTGCTTTTGTCAAAGAGTCCCCTTCCTGAAACAAATGGTTGATGTACTCGGCCAAGAGTTGATCCAGCCGTACGTACGATCGCGGGAGGCCAAAGCCTTCCAAATCCAAAAGCCGAAAGAAAAGTGAAACTTCTCGCCTATAAATGCCCAAAGTTTTTCGTGAGATGCCCGCTGTTTTCAAGTGCTGCTTGCGAGTCATGATCCCTCATGGAGGCGACTCGGACGATCAGCTTCGTTCCGCTTGCTAATCGTCCAGAGGTGAATCGGCAAAGTGCCGCTCATAAGGGCCAGGGCATTCACTCTACGAAGAAGGCGGTTGAGGCGAGGTGAACTTGATCGCCCCTTTGTGAGGCAGTGAAACGTCACCTGAGAATCGGTGATATTGAAATAGCGGCATCCCAGTTGAGCACGCTGCCTTGTTCGACGTCGGAACTCCACCAGGAACGCCGAGATCTCCAGAATGTTGATGTGTTGATGCTGCCGCCAAGCAAAGGCCAACTTCACCTTCCAATCCCACTTGAAAGCAGGATAAGGCGACATCATGCTCTGACTCCCGTCTTCAGCTGACGACAACAGCTTCACGTCAGTGTCACGCAAGAAGATATGGCGCAGCATAGTTTTCAGGAGCTCCTTCTCCTTGCCAGGAACCATTGAGCGGATCACCTCCAAGACCCGCATGGCTGCACGCGAGGCAATCACAGGGTTCTGAAGCCCACGAGTTGAGGATCTCAGGGCCGCCATAATCTCACCTTCCTCGTCAAACACGCCCGCAGACGGAGACGGGGACAGCAGTTGCAGTTGAGATTTGAGGGCTTGCGCATAGACCCGGCACATGCGCCATGGGTACTCGGCCTCGGCCGTGGTATCGAATTGCAGTCCCCCTTGCACCTCATGAACTTCATACGGCAGGAGGCCCGGGTGACCGCCACAATCGGGCTTGTGCAGAGCCCTGTGCAGCTCTGGAATGTTGTGGACCAATGCTGTCCATTTGGTGCGCTGTCCTCCAAAGCAGCACTGGCTGAAGCAGGTGACGAAGAAGCCCGGCAGAGCACAGCTCTCCATCGCTTCAGGCGTTGACCAAAAAATTGACGACCATGGGTGCTCCACTGAGGCAAACCGCCCCCTTTCATGGGCGTCACGTAGTCCCTGCAGGGAGCGCCGCCCCATTGCATTCCCTTGCCTGATCTTCACTTGGTTGTCGGGGGACAAATTGGGCAGTCCCCAAGGCATTTCATGGCTCCTCAGAGCCGGGGGTCCTTGGAGGTAGCGTCCTGATGTAGTCCAGAAAGGTCTGCCTCTGGCTGCAGAGTATGTCTTACATTCGGGCGCCCAATGCGATGCAGACAAATGGCTGTCATCCTCCAAACCCTCCAAGCACTCCTTGCCAGCCGGGGAAAAGAAATCCCAGTTACCATCTCTCAGTTTGTCGAGCGGTGGCTGGACAAAAATTCCTTCAAGGGCTACTGCTTTGGTAAGGGGACAATTCGGCCCGGAGAACCTTTCACCAAATGTAGCTCGCCCCAACATTTCCCGCCCGCAGGCGTGCCGATGGGCAGCAATGCAGTCCACGCAGCAACCGAACACGCCACAGCCATTCGGACAGGGGTACCCGACGGTATAGTCGCTGCCCATCTCTCCCTGGCATTGACCACACTTGCCCTCGAACTGCAGTTTCTCGGGTACTCCGGGGCAGCCCTTCACAAACGCAGTGGCGGTACAACTTCCTCCCCCCGTCGGCGATGCATCTGTGCATGACACCTCGGTGGACAACTTTGCTCTGAGGTTTGTTTGGCTCAGCGGCGACTGAATGCACAGGACCATGATCTCGTCTGCCACAGCGAGAGTCGGGTTCACATCCTTGGCGATGTTTAACTGTTACCTGGTTTCCCTGGAAGGCTTTGACTTGGAACTGGGTTTATCACGCGGGGTTTTCTTTCATGACCTCGCTGTTATTGTATTGTGAGGCCGCCCCTTTTTTTTAGTTGGCTAGGTTTGCTTCTTGATTTTCTGTGTCTCATGGCCAACTTGCTTCGCTTCTGCATGTTCCCTGCTTCCATCCATGACATATTAAATGGGAGAACGCCTGTGCATCAGTGCTGCCAAAGTCTTGGACATGGATGGCTTTGAACAGGGAGGTTGAGCACCCTGGCTGGACTGTTACTGTTGGCAACAGCTTGCATTGTGGGCCTACCTCATTCGACGATGAGATTACCGGTTTCTACCCAAGTGACCATCGTCTCTGAAGTGACACGGAAGTTAAATGGGATAATTAATGAGGTCAACAAGTGCCCGACTCTAAGAATGAGGCAGTTTGTTGGCTGGTTCTAGGCTTGGCGGCCCCCAGCAAGATGAGTTGGAGCAATCCGGTGAAACTTTAAAGAAGTAATTCAATTTCCTTTTTGACCATGGATGGGACAGCCAGTGGCAGACGCCTTCATTAGGTTTTACCAAATAAAATGCTGTCAGGGGGCTTGCATGGACCTTTTCATGTCGACGGACATTCGCTTTGTCCATGGATACTTCTATGTCTACGGACATTTTTTTTGTCTACGGACACTTTCGTGTCTATGGACACTTCTGTGTCTACGGACACTCCGTGTCTGCGGACACACCGTGTCTGCGGACACTTTGTGCCTGCGGGCACTGCTTGTCTGCGGACACTTGCCTCCGGGCACTTTGTGCCTACGGGCACTGTCCGTGTCTAAGGACACTCGTGTCTACGGACACACTGTCTATGGACACCTATGTCTGCAGGCTCCTCACTGGATTGCTTGGACGAAGCAGACGCGACCATTTGATTTTCCATTAAGCAAGAAAAATTAAAATAAACATAATAAACAGCATGCTTCGCTGTCGGTCTGTCGTGTGTCTGTGGAAGGTTTGGCTACTCACCTGCTGAGACCTGGTCATGGCAGTTTTTCTTTATATGTAAACTCATCATCGCTGTCTGCAGCCATTTGGTTCAAAGATATGGGGAAAGGAGTTCAGCCAAAGCCCGGTCTGTTGCCCGGGAGGCTGGTTGCTCAGCACTTGCGTTCTTGTCAAGCCAAGCATGGACGTTGTGGCCTCTGTTTCTGGGGTCAGAAGAAAAAAACTTGGGAGGCAAAGCTTTCGAGCCGCTGGCTATTTGTCACTCTGAAAAACAAAATGGCTCGTCTCGGTTGCACTGTGTGCGCACTAGCTTCCACAGGAGGCCCTTGGGCTAATTTCGACCAAAAGCCTTTGTCTGTGAAGCTGGTGCACTTGAAAAGGCATGAAAGGTCAAAAACACATGTCGCTGCCTTGGCGGCCACAAGGTCCTCGGACCATGCTGCTTTGGCGCCTGACGATTCCTTGTTTCAAGAAGCATTGAAAAAGATGCGTGCTGGGGGGAGCGCAAGGGACGGTGGCGGCTGCAGTAATAAGAAGGAACAAGTCCGGTGGTGCCTGGCAGAAGCAACCATGGATGCCGGAAGGCAGGTTTTGGGAGAAGCTCTATGCGTTGCTTTGACGCGTGACGAGCGGAAAGGGAGGCTGTTGATCAGGTGGCGCGCTTGCAAGGCTGACCTTAGCCCTGCGTCTGAAGTCCTTGACTTCAAGCCAGTTGAAGGATATGCAGACAATCTGGCTAATGCAGTCAAGCGAGCAGTGGAAGACTACTGTCTGCCGCGGCAATTTTTGCCTCGTGGTTTCGTTGATGCGAGCTCTCCAGTACCCTCCCAGCAAGATGTGGAGGCAAATATCAAAAAGACGACCCGAGTCTTAGTCACGGATGCAGCCGCGGCAGAGCTGCTTGCTTCGAATCTCTTATCTGGGCGCCGTCCCTATGCGGAAAGCGGTGCAGTGGAGACATATCTGCCAGCACTCAAAGTTATCCAGAGAGACGCGCCTCACGCGTCAACGCGTCTTCTGAAGCGACCATTTGCCGCGTCGAAGGAGTTGAATGACATAATGGAAGAATTTGTGTCGGGCCACGATGCCTTTGCCCAAAAGGTCTTCCATAGTCCGTTGTATGGCGCATGGTGGAAGGACTTGGTCCAAGAAGAGACGGGCGGGCCAACCAGCTTGGCATCTGCAAAGCACAGATTTGCGTCATTCTTCCTGCCTTTGAGCCGGATCTGTGGCAATATGCCGCAAATGGTCAAGCTGTGTCACAAAGTCGCGCTTGTCCGTGGACAAGCAGGCGACTGGGCTGGCCAGCTCTTGGGCAACTTCTCCGGAAGAAAGGCTGCTCTGTTAGCCATGGCAACAGACGCAGCAGCGACATGCTGCGAATTAACCAGGAGCCTGGATGCTGAAGACGCAGATATTAGTCTGCTGGGTTCCCAAGTTCAGCACTTCGCTCATTCCATCCAAGCCCTGTTCTATTCGGAACGGGTGGTGGAGTTGCCTACCTTCACTCGGGAAGTTTGCCACTCTTTGAGAAATCAGGCGATTCCCATTTTGCACAATGGGATGGGATTGCGCGAGTCACACATCACGGACGAAGACATTCGTTATGCTTTTGCAGTAATGAAAGACTGGGCCACCCTATCCTTGCAAACTTTGGAAGCCGAGTTTCCTGCATGGCACCTTCTCACTTGCTTTGATGTTTTTCAGCTCGCAGGGACGTCTGCAAGAAAGCGGGAAGGGCAAGGGACAGAGGATGCTTCGGCGAAACTGTCCAAAGTTTTTGAAGTCGACCTCCAAGACTTGAAGACTCAGTACGTCTCGGTGCTGCCAACCGCGCAAGCCATCCAGAAGACCGCTGGCCTGGAGAATCGTCAGGCTTGGGCGCAGGCTCTGACACGCCTACGGGCTACTTCGGCTTTGAAGAAGAAATATCCTGCAGAGGCCCTGACACAGGTTGTCGCTGCATACGTGGCATTCACAGCTTCAAGCAGTGGTTGTGAGCAAATGTTCAGCGGGTTGAAGAGGAGCCCGGCTGAGTTGGCTAGCTCTCGGCTGGACACAGACAAACGACTGGCCGTTGTTGTTGGGGGTGATGCTCAGTTCGACGAAATGGTTGTCGCCAAAGCTCGCGAGCTGTACGGCACTTTGCTGCGCTCCGGGCGCGCGCGCTCTACCACCCGCGCTGCGCTAATAGATCGTGGTCGAGCGGGCCCTGCAAGGCCAGACTCTCATCGAGCGTGGCTGCGTACGCGAAAGGAAGCAGTTGACAAAGCAGCGCAAGAAGACCAAGACTTGCGCACGCCGCAGAGACGTCCAGTTTTGGCACTGACAGAAAGTGTTCAAAAGGAAGCCAACAAGCAGGAGGCATTGAGTAAGAAAAGGAAAGCTGAGGCTTTTTTGGAAGGCACCTTGCTGGAAAAGGAAGTGACCGACGAAGTGCGCACCGCAGCTCAGAAAAAAATTGCTCTAGACCAAGCGAATGACAAACAAAGAAACAAGAACTGTGCACGCATCTTACAAACTGTGGAGATGACTCAGACTAAGCAGACACAAGCTTGGGCCTTGTGTAACTTACCTCAGCCTGCTTTGCTGACCCAGACAGGAAATGAAGCAAACAGTTTGCAGCGAGCCCTGAAGCAAGCAGGTGTTTCGACTGTTGTCCAAGACATGCGTGAAGCCAAACTCTTAGTTGTTGACCACGTGCAGGCCATGACTCGCACACAGCGGCTGCTGTCGGCCGTGATGGGTTGCGTGGTGCTGTCTGCTTCCATATTGCGTGGAGCCGGAGGGGTGAAATTGACTTTCCATGCAGGTGTGGAGCAAAGGGTGCGCTTGTTCTTGACAGATGCTTTTAAGCGTGAAAATGCGGCGTTGACACTCGTCGTCCGGGAGGCAGTTGCCCGGAGACTTGGTTGGACGGCTGTGACGTCTGAGGAAGCCAGAAGGAAGGATGGCTGGAAGTGGGGCTTGACTTTGAAAGGCAATAATGAAAATCTTGGGGCCACAAGTCGGTGCAAGAAAATCTTGCAGCTGACCGGGGACGAGTTTGTCCAATGGGCAACACAAAATTTTGTGCATTCCGGGGCCAGCGCTTGGGTTAAAGGACCGTGAGCGAATGTGCACAAGCGAGCACAATGGCGAAAAAATGGTTTCACGAAATCGTCAATGTCTCAGTCTTTCGAAGTTTTTGCACGGGTTTAACGACTGCAGTCAGTTCATCCGCAGCCGTTTACAGATTCAAGCCCACCAAGACGGAGACATGCCGACGCCTCCTGGAAAGAGGCTGCAATTTCTGGAACCAAAACCCATTAGAAAGAGGAATCCCAAGGATTCTTGGTTCTATGTGCAGAAAAAATTAATCACCTCTTGGCGGCCAGAGAAACTTCTCCGGTGCTATCAGACGTTGACGAAGCACAAGTGGGATACATGTGGCCTGGCAATTCAGCTCAAGAAGCAGCTGATCCGCAAGAAAGGTCAGGCATGGCTCCATGCGCAGGAGAAAGACGATGACAATGAGTGAGGTTCAATTTGATATGTCAAGTACTGTACAGACTACTTAATTCTAGCTGTAAATTAACTCCAAGATTGATAAGCCAGACGTGTGGCTTGACCACAGACTTGCTGCGGGAAAAAAATAAGTTGCTGCAGTCGCTGGCTGCAGTGAAGCGAACTTTAGTTTTTAATCCTCTCAGCCATATGTTGGCTTCCATATGTTGTCACCATGGCGGGTCTACTCAAGGTTCGCAAAGGGCAGATGACCAAGATTAAAGAAAGGCCCCACCAAACCGTCTCCGCAACTTGTCTCTGAAATCAACCGCCTAGCAGAGACGTGGAAAAAACGGCGAAGGTTTCGGGAAGCCAGGCAGCTGAAAGAAACCGTTCTCTCTTGCGTCCGATTGCGCGGGCGACGGCTCGGAGTTGTTGGCCCTGACGCTTCTGGCCTTGCAAGCCCGCGTGAAGCTATTATTGATGCTTTGCGAAGCAAGCCCAGCCAAACGAGCTCTCCAGAAAGGTATGGTGGAGCAGTGTGGGTTCAATGACTCAGAATGCAAGGTCTTCAAGGACATTTATCGTGGTCGCATAGACGACAACGATGCGACACCTGTTGTCGACCTTTGCGAACCCTGCCGAGTGGAGTAACAGTCTCCGTTGACATGGAGTCCCCGACGGCCTCTTCGAATGAGTGCGGTGGTAGCGACAAGTTGTTGCTTTCCCGGCCGAAGCATCGTCGCTGTGATCCATGGTCATCAAAGGTTACATTGGGTTCGATGGTGCTCCCGATTTCCAGTCTGTAAATTTACGGAATAAGTTGACAGTGCCAGATACAAGAAGCCGCCACCCCGACCTTCGTCGTATTTTTAATTATCGTGCGCTCCAAGGTGGCCGAAGCTGCCTAATAACGAGCGGATATCAGAGGCTATGTCCTAGACGTGGCAGCGTCTCGTTTCAGAATGTCTTGCGCAACGCATGTCCATGCCTGACAAAGGCTCGTTGCAAGCAAGACGGATGGTATACTGTCCAACACTTCGCCAACGAAGCAATTCAATGGAAATCGGGAGCCTACCCAAGACTATCATCTCAGCGACGATGCTTCGGGAAAGCAACAATTGTCGCTCCCGAAGCACTCATTCGAAGAGGCCGTCGGGGACTCCATGATCTCAATTTGCTGCAAACAATGCTGAGGTTGTTGCTCCACTCGGCAGGGTTAGCGACACTAACGTCGTCACAGGACTGGTGCCTGCGTTGTCCATCAGACAGATGCTACCAGCAGCTAAGTGACAACTTGTGGGCGAAGCATATTGAGAAGATTCAAATGTGATGACCACTGCCACTGCCGCAATGAATGAGCTAAATTCCCAGGGTCCCAGGGCTTAAACGTCGTGAACGGTTAAACGTCGCGGGGCCTTACCCGGGTCTGCCCCGGTACTGATTGACCCTGGGTAGTGGGAGTCCAGGATTCGTACTCTCTTAATCCGAGGCTGCCCTTGGGCAGGGTCTAGTAGGGAGAGTGTCTTTTGTTATAGCTGGAGTCCGAACGCTGCGTTCGCACTGCGGTTAAGTCAAATGACGCTCTTCTTCCCCGAGGCTGCCCTTGGGCAGGGTTGGGTAGTGGGAGAGTAGGTTTCGTACTGTCACTACCCGGGTTCCGCTATCGTTTCAGACGCGAGCAAGGAAAGTCCTAACCGAATGTACCAAAGCTTTGACATAATGAGCATGACACAGGGTGGTGAACTTGAATGTCATGTTGCCGCAGCCGTTTTTAGGCTTAAACTCCGGTGCCGTAGGGTGGTGCGAGCCTGTGCCACGGCGGAGGAGGTCGTTAAAGTGCCGACTCCCCCGGCCGTGCCGCCTCCTCGGAGGGATGACGACGGGGTTCGTCGAGCGGAAGCGGAGCCTGAGGACGACGGGGGCGACGGTTCCGAAGACAATAGTCGCCACGGTCCAAGCCGAGAAGACAGGACCCGGCTGGATGACCGTGGCCATGGCCGCCGCAGACGCAAGTCCCGTTCGCGGGACCAGCCTTCACGGAGGGATGAGACGCCGCGGCGTCAGGACGGTCAGCCGGACCCGAAAACGGGCTATGTGGTGTGCGGGGTCTGCAACATGCAGGTGGGCGGTGGCTGGTATGGGTACCAATCCCATTGCCAGACCAGCAAGTACCACCAAGCTTGCACTTTCTACGCCCAAGGACTTCCTTGGGCGCAAGCGCAAGCCCGCGCGTCGAAAGACTGGGCCAAGTGGCACGGTGCCTCGGTGTCAAGAACCCCTGCCCGGCAAGCACCGGTGCTGCGTGAGCGGCGGTCTAGGTCACGACGACGAAGGCACCGAAGGGGATCCGAAGAGGAGGCCCCAAGACGTAGTCGCTCCAGGGAGCGTCGTCGGTCCACGGCGCCGGCAACTGCAAAAACCGTGCCAGTGCCTGCCAGGTCCAAAACGGGGAAGCAGCCAGCCAAGGAAAAGAACGTCGACGGAAAAAATGCGCCGACCAGAAGGACCGGCAAGGAGGCTGCGAAGAAAGCTCCGGCCAGCCAAAAGCCGATGCCGCCGCCAGCCAAGGAAGAGTCGTCACAGTACTCGTACGTTGAGGACGACGAGGAGGAAGAGTCGGAGTCAGACGAGGAAGTGGAGGCTGAGGTTGCGAAGCCCAAGTCGACGACGACTCCGTCAAAGCCTGTTGCGTCCAAGGCAGGCGCAAAGTCAAAGGCGACTAAGGTCGCACCGCTGGCAGCTGCCTCGTCCAAGAAGATGGGCGAAGCTCAGACGCGTCGTCGTCAGAAAATGGAAAGCATGGCAAAGCTTTACGAAGCTCAGGCTGCAGTCATGCGGTCCATGACGGACTAAGGAGGCGCGCCGCCAAAGGGGCTTCGGCCCGGACTATAAAACTGCATCTAATTAAGACTTTTGAGACCTCCTGAGTAAACGTCGGAGAAAAAGGGATGGACCAGGCTCGCCCAGCTTGCCAGGTAGGCGACTTCTGCGAGTTTAACAAATGACAACATAAGAATTATTGATTCTTAGTTGGCTCCAAGCCGCTGTTCCCTTTTAACTTGTCCATCTGCAGCCGTTTCGGTTCGTCAGTGTCGTCGCGACGACGAGTTGCTGTGGAACATGGTGAAAAACGTGTCCTCCTGGCGCTTGAACAAAGCAGAGCTGGCCGAAGTGGCCGCTCGAGTCGAAAAAGGCGAAGACCAAGCCGTCGTGAAACGGGAAATTCAAACTTTGAAAGCACAGGCAAATGAAGACAGGAAAAAGGCTGCAAACGCAGTCGCAGAGAAGTGCAAGCGTCAAGCCGTGGCTGCAAAGGCATTGGCAAAGTGCAAGGCGGCGACAGCGAGGGCCAAAGCTGGAGGGGCTCAGCCAGAAAGTGGGAGTGCGCCTTCGGAGGCAGATCTGAACGACGCTACGAACAAAGCGTACTACTGCCAGGTCCAAGAAGACTGCGAGGTGATCCTCCAAGAGTTTGGTGGAGAAGCCTTTCGGCAAGAGCTTCCTCTGCCGATTTCCACTGGAAACGGGCCAAGTGGGGTCCAGGAGCCATTCGACAGAGTCAAGGCGCTGCAAGCCTTGCAGGCTCACAGCTGCTACAGAAGCAGCGTCAGTGTGTGGTGGCTGAATGCCATGAACAGTCCGACTCCTGGAGTCCCTATGAGCCGCAGGAGAGTGGAAGATCTGATGCAGTTTTGCTACGGACTGGGCCAACCTCGATTTCATTCCGACAGGATGATAGAGGTAGCCGTGACTTCCTCCGAGTTGGACTGTGAGATTCCGAGCAACTTGCAAGTTATCTCACCAGAGGAAGTTTTGCACGCGACTCTTGCTGGCTGCGCTCTAGCAGTGAAGTTCCTCGTCCTGATTATTGTCTTTTTTTTTCGGTTTAAAATTTTATTCTTGGTAACTTCTTCTCTTCCGGGGGCGTGCTCATTCCAATCAGGCTGAAGGACACCTTGCCGGACGCAGAATGGCAAGAGCGAAAGGCGAAGTGGAAAGCAGTCTTGCTGTCCGTTCCGGTGACCTTCTCGGAGATCCCGGTCCAAGACGTGTGGAAAGCGGCCTTTAACCGCCGTCAAGCAGTTCTGCAAGAGCATGAAAGCCTGTCAAGAACGGCTATGCAAGCCGCGATGGAGGTGGCCCACTTCAAGACTTTGGTGGAAGCACAGAACCCATCAGCCGGAAAGCTCTCAGCGCAAGCGCTGTCAGCCGAGTTCGTTCGACTTGGCTTGTCGCAAGTCACTGGAGGAACGAAGCAGGACGAAGAAGAGGCAGACGGGGGAAGTTTGGCCCCTACTTTCATCAGCCACGCGCTGAACGTTCACAAGACAGTGATGAGCCAGCCGCGGTGCGTTGAACTGCTGATGGATTTGGAATGCAAGTTTGGAACACGCAGCTGTTTTCACAAAATGTCGAAGCTGTGCGTGTTGGCCAACAAGCCGACTTCGGCGGCCTCGCGCATCTGGGTACTGGAAAGCCTGCATGACCTGCTCTGTTGGGCAGACTTGAAGCCTTCAGAGGTCACGCGCAACACCATGACAGGAGACCGAAGTCACTGTGGACTCGTCGCGCTGTTTGAGTGCAAACAACGAGTGTTGGACTATATTCACAGTGACCTGTTGCCAAAAGCAGGTGTTTTGGATTCGGACAGGCGCTTGCTCAAAGAAGCTTCAGCTGATCACTCGGCCCACTCGGGCGATGGTGACATCACTTGGCAAGCGCGCTTGCAAAAGAGTGGCATCCTCTGCTTCGAGCTGATCCAGGACCTCGTCTTCGACAAGAAGTTCGACCACGGCGTGCGCCAAGCTGCCAGAAGCGGAGGCGCGCCAGAACAAGTATGGGAACAGGACCCTGTGAAAGAGGCTTGGGAAAAGGTGAAGGTGGAGCTGGCAAAAGAAGCTGAAGAGCGCAAAGCTTGCAGTATGCAGGCAGACGACGAAGAGATTGTCGAGGAAGAAGATGCCCTGACCGTGGTTCGCAAGGCGCCAACAAGCTTCGCGCTTCATAGCCCCGGCTATTGGAACGCAATCGGGAACCAGGCTGTGCGCACGTACGTCAGCCTGGTGCCTGAACCCAAGACAATGCAAGGAGTGGAGTCGGCGGTCGCGCAAAGCTCGCTGAAAGACATCTTCGGATCTCAAGGCGTGTCTAGTGTGCTGCTGTGGCTTGACCTCGACTCGGTTGGCGAAAGCCAAGGCCCTGGTCAACAACCGCTTCTGCGGAAGAAATATACTATGGACACCAACACGCTGAAGTTGGTTCAAGGGGCACTCATGGGCCGTGGATCGCAGAAGCGCGGGCAGGCAGGCGCAGAGGAAGCAACCCGCGTGGTGGACGGTGACGTGGTCATGATCCACAACGGCTTCAGCCACCCAGGTGGCCAGCGCGAGGCCAAATCCGTGTTCCGTCTGAGCACGGCAAAGAAAGAAGCAGAAGTGGACTCGGAACTGAGAGAGGTTCTTGTGATTTTCGAAGACGAATCCATTCGAAACAGAAAGCAACGGGTGCGCGGAAGCTACAACTCCAGCACTTGCGTGACTGTGGCCACGTCCACAATCTTCACGCAGTGTTTGCCTGAAAAGGCATACGAGCACCATCCAGGACATTGTTTTTCTAATGTCCTGTGCAATGTGAAAGCTCTCAGGGCGACTGAGGCATGGCACCTCAGCAGAAAAGAGAAAGAGGAGGTATTGGGAAAGGACCGCGCAGTGACAATCACTGAGGACGCTGCGGCGAAGAAGGCAGAAAGCGGAGGGAGCGAAGGTTTGGAAAGCGTTTTCTCCGCTGCTGCTTTGCCGGTCCCTTTCTACCAGGACTTGATCCGAGGACATGCAGCCAAAGCCGTTTTGGATTTGGCCGCCGGCGCAGGAAACTTTGCAAAAGCGGCTCTTCTGGAGAGGGTCCCATACTATGCCTTCACGCTGACAGAATGTCACTCCAAAAGGCTAGAAGTAGTTCTCACCCAGTTCCTGGTAGACGAAATGAGGAAAGAAGGGTCGACCCATTTCAGGCCTGAGGCTGTGCAGGACCAGGAGCGTCAAGAGGCTGACTCTGCGCAGGTTCCAAAAAAACGCACAAAGGGAAGTAAAAAGGACGAAGGCTCTGAAGTGGTGCCCAAAAAGAAAGCAAAGGCTAAGGCCAAAACCAAAAAAGACGACGACGGCGAAGAAAAAAACGAAGAGCAAGGAGCCGAGGAAGAAGAGGCAGGTGGTTCCCCTTTGCCGTGGTAGGTTAGCAGAACTCCTACAAGCTCCCAGTTTCAACGGACGCGGTCGTGAGGCTTCCGTATTCATTGTTTATCAACTTTTTTTCGACAATATGTGCATTTGGCGCAAAAAAAGCCTCACGAATGGGCGTTGTTGAATCCTCTTAGTCGTACGGTACGCCTGCAAGGCCTCCCCCATGTGGTCTTCTGTTGTCTTTTGAAAAACATAGTTGTTGTTTCGCCGACAACGGTGGGAGGCCAAGCGGCTGATCCGAGCGAAGACCAGTCCCGGCCGGATGCGTGAAAAAAACAACATGCCCAGTGGGTCGCAGGGTGGAGGGTCAGGAAGCATGACAAACAATCTGTTTCAAACGTGACAAACGCCTTGAAACACAGACACACACGACCAACACAGACACTTACACACACACAAAGACGACACACAGACATATACACACAGGATGCATGCAGATAAAGGGTCCATGTTAACTGTTAAACCATTTGTTTCCCCCTCACTGGTCAAAATTTTCATATTGCCAGTGGGACCACATTCACAATCTCCAGTGCCGCGCCCGCGAGCCTCAAGTTTCGACTTGTAGTTTTGTTTTTGAAAAGGCCTATTTCAGACGGAAATGCCAGATCATCCCTTCGTGGTAAAGCGCAGCTTTGTGAAGCTTGTGAGTGGTCTCATGCTCCACATTTTGTCGACGATGTCCTTTCGAGAAGCGGAGGATCGATGGTCGAACTGCCAGGAATCCTTGCGCATGGCTGCATCTGCTCTCGCAGAAATGCGGATGTCGGAGCGGGCCCTCTTGAGCAAGTGGTCCATGATCCTCTTTGTATGTTGGCAGACAACTGTGGAAGGACGCATTCCAGAGCTCAGTGCCCGGAAAGAATCAGACGACGGTGTCACTTTGGAACTTAGCTGCCATGTTCCAGAGGAAGAATCTGAACTCTGGAGGCTGCAGTGCAACGGCTCGTTGCATGAAGAAGAATTTGGCAGTGCCGCCGAGGACCTAGGCAGTTTGTTGTCCCACGTGCGTGAAGCAGACTTCATGTTAGAGAGCCATGAGATCCTAGATGCTCAAAAGTTGTTGGACGAAGTGGCTGCTGTGTTGTCTCCGGTCATGTGATAACTCACACCATGTCTACGGACATGAGCATGTCTACGGACATGAAAGTGTCTACGGACACGAAGTGTCTACGGACACGAAGTGTCTACGGACACGAAACTTCATGAAACTTCTGCTTGGTCCAGGAATTCGTCTGCACCTGAAATGGGCAGAACCCATCCAAGAAGCTGAGCTGCTTTTGTCTAAGGAAAAAAAAAGGCTTCAACTGTGGAAGGGGGGGTTTGGTGGTATAAGTCTTTTTTAGCCAAACAAAACGTAATTTATAGTAGTATAATGGATAATATGACCTGAAAGCCTGGTTCATAAGACAGTAGAGGGTAAAGAGGTAACCAGGTAACGGTTAAACATCGGTAAGCATCGTTCCACTTGGAGGCCTCGATCAGGTTGAAAATGTTGCCCATGCCTGAGAAAAGCGACCGCTTGAACGTCGCCAGGAAGGCCGTTTTCCCTGTCCAGTGCCGCAGCTGAAATTCATTCCATGCGATCGGCGGGCCAAGAGAGCGAGGCTGAGCTGGATGTAGTTGCGCAGCTTGTCCGAACCCAACTTTAAGACGCCTCTCATGCCGTCAAATTCACCACCTTGCATTCCGCCTGCAAAAGCATGGATCAGCTGCTTGCTCTCGTTGCGGGGCAATCCCGCCTCGTCGCATGCCGCATTGAAGCGCTGGTGGTAATCGGACATGTCTGTGCCTTCCTTGTGAATTTCCAGGTCAACCTTCTTGATGATCTCAATCTCATCAAAATTGTCCAGGTAGACCACCGCAAAACTCTTGCCCTCAGGCAGTGGTCGGTGCTTTTCTGTGGAGATGGTTCGAGGTACCCCGGCGCGCCGGAAAACCACATCACGCACCGCTTCTTGAACCAGTCCCACTGCGGAATGCCAGCCCATTGGGATCACGCTCAAGGCTGGCCTGACCATAGTGCCCGCAGGGAGGCCCATCGCTGCCCCGTCCACCTTCTTGCTATAACTGAAAAAGGGCAGCCATCTGTCCGGGACAGAGAACAGGTTGAACGCCGACTGCAGGTCTTCACTCTCAAGGTACAGGGCTTCATCTTCTTCCAGCATGAGCCCAGTGATTTGCCCAATGTAGGGCAACGTATCCTGTGCCCCCACCAGTGGGGTCGTCACTGCATTGATCGGGCAAAGGATTGAGATAAACCGCTGCGCGGCAATCGCCTTGCCGTCCACCATCTTTTCCTTGAAGACAGCCCCAGCACCATTTGTAATGAGGTGCCCAGACCTGTCCCGCGGGACATCTGCATCATTGACTGGCCGCATCATGCCACGCTCCCATGCAGCTTGAACGATCTTGAACCATTCAGCGTCACTGGCTCTGACCCGTGAGCGTGGAGCATTTGAAGGCATTCTCTCCCGCGGGAGGAGCAGCTTGTGGGGGTCTTGAAACGCTGCAAGGGTCTCAGGGGTCAGAAAAGCTTCAATAGACTGCACGCCGGCCTGACCCCTCCTTGGCCATGCCATGACCACTTTGTCGCACACCAGGTCCTCCATGTATTCCACGGGTCGCCCGGCATAGTCATACTTCTTTGAGGAGAGGAGGCGATCACAGTCCGCAAAGGGCAACAGTGTGTCAGCCGACAAGATGTTGGAATCAACCACGCCAGCTAACTCTGTGATTGCCGCCTTCTGACACAACGACAACGCGTCTGGCACCGGCACACAGATCGGTTTTGCCCAGCCAGTGCAATACTGGAAGTCAATCACAGCCACCATAGCCTTCACCCAATCGATGTTGTTGTCGGTGACACCTTCGATCTTGGTTGTGATCCGCCACATCGGTATAGGGAGGAGATCACCATGCCCATCGGCCTTTGAGCCTTCCCCCGCGGTGGAGGGTTGCGCGGTCAAACAATATGAACGGACGAAATTGCCCAAGGGGGTAGGCATGGTTGACAACAGCTCCAGCAGGTGCCTTCCCAAATCGGTGAAGGTGGCCCGGACCTTAAAAAGGTCCCTGACGTAACCCGACCAGTCACTAAGATTTTCGGCCAACCTGAGATTCAGCTTGAGCAGATTCGGAGGGCATCCCTCAGCGTCATCAGAGAGCTCCGAGGGTACTTCCGGGGAGACCTTGTCCAAGTGTTCAAGCTCGCCCGCGGGCGGGTGCTTATGAGCACGAGGCTTTGCAACTGGGCTCTTGGGCCTCTTGACAGTTGCCTTGGCCGCAGCCAGACTTTTGACCCTTAAGAGGGCAGGGCTAGCCGTCATGCGACTGGGGGTTTCTCCGACTCCTGTTGGTGAGTCCAGCTGTTCACCGGGCCGCGGCCCTTCTTCCCCCTGCCCTTTCCTTTTGATTTCCCCTTTTCGTCTCCTTTTCCGTCCCCCTTGTGGGGAGCTCTCCACTGCGGAGTGCCGATGGTCGCCCGCATCTTCTGCTCTACCGTCTGCTCCTTTGATGCCATCAGCATTTCGTCTTTTTCGACGAGTGACGCGCCCTCGGGCGGAATCAACTCCAAGAACTGAGCTCTCGACCATGTCTGGTCGGCCAGAAAGAGTTCCAGTGCCTTGTATCTCTGTGCTAGCACGTCTCCCGCTCGATCTGATCGGCCTTGCGCCAGGAGATCCAGTGCCTTGGCCGTCGTCCGCAGCTCCCTGCTTGTCCTCAACGTCAAGCGGTCCTTGTACTGCGGCAGGAGGACCGTGAGGAAGTAAGAGCTGGCTGCCGACGGCGTCAGATTTGTCGCTGTGCCCCGGTTCATGGGGCCCTCCTCTCGGGCTAGAATGTCCCTCATCTTCCGCAGGAGACGGGCTGTGAGGCGTCCCGGTGTTTTCTCTGCGTACTCCTGAAGCTGAAGATGCTTGGACGTGGTGGAGGGCCCCGCGCGAAAAACTTGCTCATCTTGCTGCCCAGTCTCATCCTCAGATGATGGGTCACCACTGCTCTTTCCATCATACCGGACACGCTGTCCAACACCATAGGGACCACGATCAACCTGGTTGTCCTTTTTGGTTTTCTTTTTCTTTTTCTTTTCACGACTGGGTGATCGTGACCTCACCCGTTTCTTCTCGTCACCGCGGTATGACTGTCCACGGTCACTTCCTGATGATTCCTCCCCGCAGGGACTCACACTCACCCTCTTTCCAAACCAAAGGGGTTGATGCTTGGCCTTGTCAGGCGACCTGCTTCGCTTGCGGTCACGGCTGCGTTGCTTTTGCTTGCTGCGAGATCTATCACGCCTTCTACGTTTGCGCTTGCCAGCTGGTTCATCTTTGCGCCTGGCAGGCTCCCCAGCAGTCTGGCGCTTGAGATCCGCCAATCGGTGACGGACATCCTCATCTTCGCCAGCCGCCAAGTCAGGGAGAGACTCTTGGTCCGACAAGCTCCAGTCCAAATCACCACGGCCTGCCTGCCCTGGCTTTGCAGGCTTCTTTTTACCACCCCGCAGGGCTCCACCTGTCAGTTTTGTCACCTCGTCAGCGATGTCGTCTTTGGCAGGTGCCACCTTGAACCACGGAACACGGAGGTTCACCAGATCACCGGCGTCCAAGGTACGGAAGTAGTCGGTGTGGAATTCTACCTTCGGCTTCTTCTTGGTCTTGCTGCAACTTGCCTCGTCGGACACACAAAAATGAAGCCAGAATTTCCGGGACGCATCCCTGCCACCGCCCTTGGTCAGCCACCAGTAAAGGTGATCGTCGCTGACAGCAATGAGCTTTGCGGCTGCCCAGATGCCGTCCTTCCTCCTCGGTTCCGGGCCGCTAACGCGCCAGACACCCTTGCCTTGTTCTCGGTGCCCTTCATCGTAAAGGGTGCACTCGAAGTACTTCCCCGTTCCCGGGTTGAAGTCCTGGAAAAAGTCCGGATTGTCCTTCAGATGGACCCAAAGCCCCGGCATTGAAGGCCACCCCGCGCCGGTCCGCAGACCACAAGCCCACGGGCTGGGGCGGCCTCCAATGCCAGATCACTCCGGCCCGCGGGCCCCCACGCACTAACCAGCCCGCGGGCCCCAAATTTGAGCCGAAACTCAACAGCACATTGAGTCAAATACTCGTGCACTGCCTAGTGGCATGACACTCGTGGTAATATATATATATATATATATGTATGTAAATAGATGTATATTATATATATATTATATATGTATATGTGTATATGTATATGTATATATATATATATATCTATATATATGTATATATATGTATCTAAATCTATGTATATATATATATATATATATACGGCAGGGGGAGGAGGTTCCCCGAGAGGACGTCAATCAGGATCATTGAAATGGAGAAAAAACAGTGTTTCACTGTGGTAAAATGGAGATTTTTCATGTCGTTCTTTTCATTGTTGATGCCTTTCAATTACGGATCCTTTTTTTTCGTCCGTCGAAGTTGAAATCAATTATGGACCATCACAATATGTGTTTTTTTGTTGGTGTTCTTATTTTCTCCATTGGAATTACGAGGTGCACATTTTGTGCTATATCAAAGATCATTGGAAAAGGGTATAATATACTGTGTTTCCACAGGTATTTTGATGTGATGTTGTTTTTCATTGGTAATTCACAGTGATTTTGCATATCATCAAAATTTCCGAGTGCTGTGAGTCAGCTGTTTTTTCTGTTTTTATACAAAAGCATTAGTACAAGACATATCAACCACTATAGAAGGCACAAACCAGGCTGCCGGCAACTTTTCGTTGCCAACTCCTCGAAGCGTGCGAGTGCATTCAAGACACTTTCCAAACCAGGCTTTTTGCTTACATAGTGCACTGCTAGGACGTTGCGATGTTTACACCCCACCCCTTCACGCAAGTTACATGAACGTTTTTACACCCCACCTCTTCACGCAAGTTACATGAACGTTATTACACCCCACCCCACCCCACCCCAGCCCACCCCTTCCCCCCGCATGACTCATGCATGACAAGTACAAGAGAACTTACACTAGCGTAGCATGACGTATGCGTGACAAGTACAAGATAACTTACACTAGCGTAGCATGACGTAGACGTCACAATTACAAGAGAACTTACACTAGCGTAACATGGCATATGCCTGAGAAGTACATAACATGACTTTAGAATGACCGTAACATCCACGTAGCATGCACATCGCCTCCAATTCTACGCAAGTTACATGAACGTTTTTACATTCCACCCCACCCCACCCCACCCCTTCACGCAAGTTACATGAACGTTATTACACCCCACCCCACCCCACCCCACCCCACCCCTTCCCCCCTCGGGGAACCCCCGCCCCCAAGGGTATATATATATATATATGTATGTATATCTATGTATATATATATATATATGTGTATATATATATATATGTATGATATAAATATATATATATATATATCTATATGCATGCATGCATGCATGCATGCATGGATGGATGGATGGATGGATGTATGTATGTGTGTGTGTATGTATGTATGTATGTATGCAATGTATGTATGTATGTATGTATGTATGTATGTATGTATGTATGTATGTATGTATGTATGTATGTATGTATGTATGTATGTATGTATGTGAGCGATTGTGAAAACCCTAGGTTCACGGAAAGGACATCCACAAATTTGGGAAGGTCCCATCGCTTACCACACGTTTGTACAATAATGATATATGGTAAACTTGGGGGGTATCGCTTGCAGGAAACTGCTGCATTTATATATATATATGTGATGAACTATGAATAATATGTGATATTTGGGTATCGCTAATGTGGATATTAGAGAAATATGATGACATAACCTTGAAAAGGGGTATCGCTAATTTGGGAAGGTCCCATCGCTTACCTCGTGTTTTTAACAATTTCCATCAATTTCCATAAACCAATGTCCGTCGAATACATATTTAGTATTGCCGGGGTTTTTTCGGTTGCTCATGTATGTATGTATGTATGTATGTATGTATGTATGTATGTATGTATGTATGTATGTATGTATGTATGTATGTACATTATATATATATATATATACATATGTGCGTCAAATACACTGACAAGAACACAGATGTATATACAGATGTCTATGATGCCTCCGTTCAGGCGAAGCAACGCAACAGCATCCTGGTTCATCTCAGCCTTTTCATTCTGGTTGTACTGCAAGCCCGCAATCACTCCAGAGTAGTCATCTGGTCCGGCGCCGGGTGCGCATGAGACGAAGATGGTGTCAAATTTGCAATGCGTGTCCAAAGGGCAGCAAATTGCATAGAGGGCCAAACGCGGCTGACTCTCATGTGCTGTGCCTGCCAAGTAGGAACGTTTGGATGTGCAGCACTTGTGGGTCTCCGCACAAGTGATCTGAGCTCCACCCTCTGGGCTGCAAGTTGCTGCACTGTCGTCGGCAACCGCAACCTCGTACTTCTTGTTGTCTTCAATCTGATGATTGATCAACCTAACGAACAACGAACACCACAAATAACAAGCAACCCCCCAGTGGCTTTTCATGTTCCTTGGAGCTGGAAGTTGGAATGTATAGGTCTAAAAATGGTCCAAAAGTATCCAAAAAGAGAAACATCGCAAGAGTGCAACAGTCGTACCATGCTACACACTTTTGAAGTTGTCACTGCATGTTCAACATGAGCTGGATCTTGCCTACAAAGTTTTCCCGTCCTGTGTTCGGCAAAAACATGTACAACAAATTGGCAAATCACATTAAGCATCTCAAACTCGTGCTATACTCAACTCTTCGTGACACACGACCAACTGAACCCAAACAACCCAAACCAAACAACCCAAACAACCCCCTCAAAAAACAACACAAACAACACAAACACTAACAACCCAAACTGACATTAAGCACCCTCACCGGTACACAGATGTATATGCCCCTGTTCAGGCAAAGCAACGCAACAGCATCCTGGTTCATCTCAGCCTTTTCATTCTGGTTGTACTGCAAGCCCGCAATCACTCCAGAGTAGTCATCTGGTCCGGCGCCGGGTGCGCATGACACGAAGATGGTGTCAAATTTGCAATGCGTGTCCAAAGGGCAGCAAATTGCATAGAGGGCCAAACGCGGCTGACTCTCATGTGCTGTGCCTGCCAAGTAGGAACGTTTGGATGTGCAGCACTTTTGGGTCTCCGCACAAGTGATCTGAGCTCCACCCTCTGGGCTGCAAGTTGCTGCACTGTCGTCGGCAACCGCAACCTCGTACTTCTTGTTGTCTTCAATCTGATGATTGATCAACCTAACGAATGACGAACACCACAAAATAACACGTGCAACCTGCATTGGCTTTTCACTTTGCTGGAGTTTCGATTGAGTTAGAATCTACGTCAAAACTCAAAATCGCCAGAGTGCAACGGTCATATCATGCTACACACTTTTGAAGTTGTCACTGCATGTTCAACAAGAGCTGGATTTGGCCTGCAGAGTTTTCCTGTCCTGCCTTCCGCACAAAAAGGTACAACACATTGGCTGATCACACTAAGCATCTCAAACTCGTGCTATACTCAACTCTTCGTGACACACGACCAACTGAACCCAAACAACACAAACAACCCAAACTGACACTAAGCACCTTCACCAGTACACAGATGTATAATATGCCTCTGTTCAGGCAAAGCAACGCAACAGCATCCTGGTTCATCTCAGCCTTTTCATTCTGGTTGTACTGCAAGCCCGCAATCACTCCAGAGTAGTCATCTGGTCCGGCGCCGGGTGCGCATGAGACGAAGATGGTGTCAAATTTGCAATGCGTGTCCAAAGGGCAGCAAATTGCATAGAGGGCCAAACGCGGCTGACTCTCATGTGCTGTGCCTGCCAAGTAGGAACGTTTGGATGTGCAGCACTTGTGGGTCTCCGCACAAGTGATCTGAGCTCCACCCTCTGGGCTGCAAGTTGCTGCACTGTCGTCGGCAACCGCAACCTCGTACTTCTTGTTGTCTTCAATCTGATGATTGATCAACCTAACGAATGACGAACACCACAAAATAACACGTGCAACCTGCATTGGCTTTTCACTTTGCTGGAGTTTCGATTGAGTTAGAATCTACGTCAAAATTCAAAATCGCCAGAGTGCAACGGTCATATCATGCTACACACTTTTAAAGTTGTCACTGCATGTTCAACAAGAGCTGGATTTGGCCTGCAGAGTTTTCCTGTCCTGCCTTCCGCACAAAAATGTACAACACATTGGCAAATCACACTAAGCATCTCAAACTCGTGCTATACTCACAACTCTTCGTGACACACGACCAACTGAACCCAAACAACACAAACAACCCAAACTGACACTAAGCACCTTCACCAGTACACAGATGTATAATATGCCTCTGTTCAGGCAAAGCAACGCAACAGCATCCTGGTTCATCTCAGCCTTTTCATTCTGGTTGTACTGCAAGCCCGCAATCACTCCAGAGTAGTCATCTGGTCCGGCGCCGGGTGCGCATGAGACGAAGATGGTGTCAAATTTGCAATGCGTGTCCAAAGGGCAGCAAATTGCATAGAGGGCCAAACGCGGCTGACTCTCATGTGCTGTGCCTGCCAAGTAGGAACGTTTGGATGTGCAGCACTTTTGGGTCTCCGCACAAGTGATCTGAGCTCCACCCTCTGGGCTGCAAGTTGCTGCACTGTCGTCGGCAACCGCAACCTCGTACTTCTTGTTGTCTTCAATCTGATGATTGATCAACCTAACGAATGACGAACACCACAAAATAACACGTGCAACCTGCATTGGCTTTTCACTTTGCTGGAGTTTCAATTGAGTTAGAATCTACGTCAAAACTCAAAATCGCCAGAGTGCAACAGTCGTATCATGCTACACACTTTTGAAGTTGTCACTGCATGTTCAACAAGAGCTGGATTTGGCCTGCAGGGTTTTCCTGTCCTGCCTTCCGCACAAAAAGGTACAACACATTGGCTGATCACACTAAGCATCTCAAACTCGTGCTATACTCTTCGTGACACGCAACCAACTGAACCCAAACAACCCAAACACAACAACCCAAACAGCCCCGTCAAAGAACAACACAAACAACACAAACAACCCAAACTGAAATTAAACAACCTCACCAGTACACAGATGTATATGCCTCTGTTCAGGCGAAGCAACGCAGCAGCATCCTGGTTCATCTCAGCCTTTTCATTCTGGTTGTACTGCAAGCCCGCAATCACTCCAGAGTAGTCATCTGGTCCGGCGCCGGGTGCGCATGAGACGAAGATGGTGTCAAATTTGCAATGCGTGTCCAAAGGGCAGCAAATTGCATAGAGGGCCAAACGCGGCTGACTCTCATGTGCTGTGCCTGCCAAGTAGGAACGTTTGGATGTGCAGCACTTGTGGGTCTCCGCACAAGTGATCTGAGCTCCACCCTCTGGGCTGCAAGTTGCTGCACTGTCGTCGGCAACCGCAACCTCGTACTTCTTGTTGTCTTCAATCTGATGATTGATCAACCTGACAAGGATTAAAACTGTTGTTTTCAATGACGCTGTAAGATGTGTTCATCCTTGCTTTGGGTGTCCTTTCTCGTTCTTTACACACCTTCACTTTATCACCGGTTTTGTTGAGTTTCCACGTCTTCACAACACATCACGTGGTTGTCCATTCGATCCCCAAAGTGTCTCTGCAAATCCATATGGCTAGCCTCAAATAGCCTACAAAATACCGATCATCTTGTGTGCAATGTTAGATTTCTCAACAACCCCAAATAATGTGAAATGACAAGAATACGACTATTCAATACTATTCAGCAATCTGAAGTCCAAAGCTGACAGGCGCCATTTACCATACTTTATCTACTTCCCACCTGATGGCATGATCCTGTCGCTGCCCCCGCAAGTGGATGAGTTCTAAGCTGCAATCGCCACTGTCACATTGATCATCCATCTGCAGGACATCGTTCACTGCCTGGTTGGTTCAAAAATCGGGAGTCAGAATCCCAAGCAAAGGAAACCTAAATGTAATATAAGATATACTATATATATATATTATATTGTGTATATATATATTGTGTATATTGTATACATTTATCTTGTGTATATATATATATAAATATATTGTATATATATATATATTGTAAATATATATATATATACATAACATACATATATATATATATAGTGTGTATATATATATGTATATATTGTATATATATATATTGTGTATATATATATATTGTATATATATATTGTATATATATATATATTGTATATATATATATACGTAAATGTATTATTATGTATTGTGTATATATATATTAATATATTGTATTCATTCAACAAATCAAACATCAACTTGATGATGGGAGTTGATGGTAGCTCTGACCCCACATATATACTTGTATTTTAGCAGGACGTAGGTATACATGTAAGTGGGTGTGTGTGTGTGTGCGGGGTAGGGGCCCACTCTTGTCACTCTCGTGGGTCAAACACCGGTAAAGAATGGGAGTCACAAATTTGGCTTCGTGCAAAGATGGTGTATATCCCAAAGCTAGGACCATTTTAGTGGAAAACATATGCATTGAATCTTCCCTTGTTTCCTTTACAAACCTATTTTTCTGACGTGAAAACAGGACCAGATGGCCCGTTGATGGCCCGATGGCTGACAGGTGTGTTGGATCCAGGATGGTCTTGCCCTTGTCTGACCAATCCATGGGAAGTGGATAGACTATACTGACTATACTGTACCAATAGCTTGTTCAACTGCGAGAAACTAGAAATCTGCAAACCCCACCATCAACAATATAGGATTGTCTAGAATTGGGGTATGTCATTATTATACATTATTATATTATATTCACCCCCATTAACATGTCCATGATATACCCCCATACATGTCCGATAAACATGCCGAGTTCATTTAGTTCAAGAACAAAATAAAATCAATGATAAACCAAATTTTAGGGTCCAGTTTCAGACAAACCTTGAAATCAGAAGAATAAGGATATGAACCGACCAACAATATGATAAATATGATACTGATAATCTTGGATATCTTGGATACACTAAGAATTCAACTGAGCTTTTTCATTTCTGTCAAAACTTCCTCCATATCGCCCCCGCCTGCCCCAGGGTGAGGAGAAACGCGGTCGCGAGGCGCAACATCGTCAGGGGCTGTAGAAAAGCGCTTTTTTCAACAGAAATCGCTGATCAAACTGGAGCCCAACCACACGGTAATCCAACATGGCTAGATGGGAAATCTCCCATTTGGATTGGAACATGATAAATGGGTAGTTGTACATTGCCAAGGAACATCTGTTGAGTTCATCTGTGTAGAAGCATTCATTGAGATGATTGTAGGAAATTTGATAGCAAACCATTCTGAATAGAGGATTATTGCATGTTTCCCCTCAAACCAGTTCTAGAAATGTGCCTGGTCTACAGAATTCAATGGAACAGCAACATCTTCATCCATCAAAGTTGGAAGACTCATATCGACTCATATCACTGCAGGATAATATTATATTATTGGATCTCCATGAGATAAGATTGCATTTAGTTCTACAATTCCCATTTCAAGCCAAGTGGCACTTGGGGAAGTTGAACCAGCACAGCGCATTGCGCAAAGCTGTGAAACCTCATGGAGGTGAAATGACCAGGGGACGGTTTAAGCTTCACTTGCTTCAATAAATGCAAACAAGACTCCTACAAGTTATGTTGCGCCGGTTTCGTTAGGTGGATAAACATTGGCAAATTCATCTTACCCTAGAGCCCTAGCTCCAAACACCTGAGACTGTATTTGGGGTTGGTTTACATCTCATGGCATTTGATGGTGGAACTTTGGGGGTTAAAACGTGTTCCGGACCGACAAAAACAACATGTGTGGGAAAAACATGATCACAATCCGGCGGTCAATCCGATCAACGCTGAGGTTTAGGCACTCTTTGTTTGACCTGGGCTGACAAGTGGATCGTTGGGATATGGTTGTTAATGGTATATTCATGGGATATTGGATCATATTGGATCATTAATGAGAACCCAGGTTTTCCCAATGGCATGACATACAGTGACATACAGGAGTTTCCAGTGAAATGCCCCCAAGAATCCACGACCAATCCAATGAGTGGATTCTGTGAATCAAACCTGTTCTCGGTGGAAAACGAGAGGAGCTAGCTTCGTATCCCATTGATACGAAAGTTTACCTACTGGTCATTCAAATTCACCTGGAAAATGGCAGATTTCATTGTGAAGCTTTCCCTAATGTTCATGGGGTTTTAAGTTCTTTTAAGATATGAACGGAAGATATACGAGATTTTCACATGGTTTCCATTGAGACATGTGGTGCTTCCGTGTGAAACTTGTAGGGTCGCGACAAAAGGTGAATCGACACAAACTCTTTGGGTGTGACCTCAGAAGCCGGACCTGGACCGGCCGGGCCCCCCATCAAATACCACGGGCCAGGAGTTGTAGATGTTTTCAGGGCACCATGAAAAATTATAAGAAAAGATGCACTGATGATTTTTCATTGTCATGTTCCCATATTGATTCCCAATGATTCCATAAGTTTCCTATTGAAATAGCCATAGATTGATAGCATAAACCCCATGTTTGGCCGCAGGACATCAACATCCCACTGTGTTGTCATCATTTCACTGGGAATTTCGACTGTTTGTGAAACATCTGGGCCCCGGAAATCTGTAGGTTTTTCCCATCATCAAATATATGGATACATGCAATTATATAGAACCTATATATAATTATATAATCATATAATTATATATACATAATTATTAAATGATCATATGTAAATTTGAGCTTTCTCTGCGTTTGAGGAGATCAATCCAATGAGTTCTACGTACCACATGCAGACTTTGCAATGTTTCATGCTGCGGTCCAGCTGTTGTTGATGCACATACCCAGCCATCTTTGTGGCGTATACATGGCAATTCATATGCTGTTTGCCTTTGTCATAGATACACACTTGTTTTTGCTAAAATAGGTACCGCCAAAAAAAAAAACACAAATCTATACACTTGTGTATTTACACACACACACATCTCTCTCTCTCTCTCTCCTATACATTTGTGTGTGTGGGTTCTACTGCGAAACCACTAGGACCATCCGTGATGACTCCACTTGGCCAAAGGACGTTCAACTCCTTCGCCAAGCGCTTCTCTACGACCCCCTGGCGGATCTAATCATTTCATGATCTGATTTTCATGCCATCGCTAGTCGCTAGGGATTGGGGAAAAAAACAGCTTCAAAAACTAGAACACCCAATTACACTTAAAATAATGATAAACATGTTAGGTGTTGAGCCAGTAACATTGCAAAACCACCCACCAAACAGGGGGAACGATCACCTTGAAGAGTCGCGCGAGCATGGCATCCTTTTTGGTGGCGTTCCAATCCGGCCAGAGCGGTTGATGCGCCGGGATCTGAGCTGCAGTAGGGCTAGGGCTGGGGTGTCCAACGATATAATGTCATGTTTATATATACATATACAATGTATATATGTATGTGTTATAATATATATATATATATAATGTTCAAATAATGTTCTGGGATGTTTTGCGGTGTCAATAGTGGCGAGGTAGACTCTTAAATGAACCCAGCCCTAAACTTCCAACATATTTGGAACGAAAACACAAAGGTGTCCAAAAGAGGCTCTGCGAGTCTTGACTCGTAGTCATAGCAAGTGGCACGCACTTTTTTTCCAAAATCTGGCAGCAAACTGGTTGGAGAGCCGTTAATTCGCCATCCAACCAAAACGTTTGTCACACACCTCAAAACACCCAGCACCTTCCAAGCAAGGCGCATTTAAAAAAAACATGTGTTACTTGCAAATCCTGGCACACCGAAGTGTGAGAGAGGTTCATGGCTGAAACCCCATAGATGAACCTTCATGCCGTTGAATGTCCCTTCTGCTTTGTTTTGGGGGGATCTTTCCCACAGTGTGATGCCCCATAGTTGGCTAAGTCAATTTATAATTATAGCTTTGGGGGGAGCACCACCTGGCAGTCGTGATTCAGCTTCGAACGCAGGCGCGATACTGCACCACGTCTCGGCAAAAGGTCAATTGACTTTGCACCAGTGCCACCTATCGAGAGGAGTAGCACCCCAGAACACTGAGTGACGGCCAGTTGACTATATATCTAGCCGGCTAGCCTTGAGTTGGTACAATGTTGAAGCAATCATGTATATAATAAATCAATGAAATATAAAATTAGCAATGATACATAAACAAAGGTATATAAACATATATAAACAATTATACTAAACTATACATACAACCACAATCTCTATGAATGAAGTTGCCACCTGGGCAACAGGGGGTGATGAGACACCAGTGCGAAGTGGCTAGCTTGACCATCTGAGCATCCAGCATTCATGGGTTCCTTCCCATCATACCCACCCAAAAATAGGCCTACACTTGAGGTAAACTTCAAAATTTGCGATGTAAGTTCCAAATTTCGAAGACCAGCCTTGGAATCTCTTCAAACCCATCAGTTGGTGGAAGACCGCCGTCATGTTTCATTATTTTCATCCTCAACCGTCATCAAAGACTCTGGAAAAGCTTGTTGGTCAGTTGGTCCCCTATGAATTATATTATCATGTTTAAATTAATCTTATAAGCATTATGAAACATTATGACACCATATTCAAAGGATATTAGACATATATTAAACCATACTAAACCATATACACCCTCGCCTCGTCCAAGCAAACGCCGTTGCGACGCCCGGAGCGCGCCGGCAGTTCGCAGGAGGCGCCTGATTCCACCAGAGTCAACTATGTTGTCTGAATGGAATGATGGTGAATATGTCTGGTTCAATTTTCGATAATAATGGTTGATAATGGTTGATAATAATGGTTGATGGTTAATGTTCCTGAAATAATGATAGTGGATATAATAAAGGAATATTTCATACAAAAAAGATAGAAATAGTTGAATAGTGGTTGATAATTATCAATGATGGTTAATGCGTTATACAATAATGGTTCAATTTCAGAAATGATGATTATTAATAATGGTTGATAGTGGTTGATAGTGGTCAATGATGGGTTAATGATGTGATATATAGTGGTTAATAGAGCGATATCAGGGATATTTAGTACATGGGAGACTTGATGGGACTAATCTTTAATAATGGGATATTCAATAAACATGTTTATAATGGTTAGTGATGGGATATGTAATGGTTGATAATGGAATATATTAATATATGATGGGAAATTTGGGAATAGTGTCAGCTAAGTCAGCGAACAGCACTCCAATAACTAGGGCTTGTGGAGATTATATCATATTAAATAATAGTATATCATATTAAATCATATTATATCATATAATATCATATTAAATCATATTATATCAAAAGATTATATTATATCATAATATATCATATTAAATCATAATATATCATATTAAATCATAGTATATCAAATTATATCATATTAGATCATATTAAATCATAATATATCATATTATATCATATCATATTGTATCATATTATAACATAATATATCATATTATATCATATGACATCGTATTATATCATACTACATCATATTACATCATATTATATCATATTAAATGATATTATACCATATTATATCATATTATATGATATTAAATCATATATCACACTACATCATATTACATCACATTATATGAAAATATATCATATTATATCATATTATATCATATATCACACTACATCATATTACATCACATTATATGAAAATATATCATATTACATCATATTATATCATATTAAATGATATTATACCATATTATATCATATTATATGATATTAAATCATATATCACACTACATCATATTACATCACATTATATGAAAATATATCATATTACATCATATTATATCATATTAAATGATATTATACCATATTATATCATATTATATGATATTAAATCATATATCACACTACATCATATTACATCACATTATATGAAAATATATCATATTACAACATATTATATCATATTAAATGATATTATACCATATTATATCATATTATATGATATTAAATCATATATCACACTACATCATATTACATCACATTATATGAAAATATATCATATTACAACATATTATATCATATTAAATGATATTATAACATATTATATCATATTATATGATATTAAATCATATATCACACTACATCATATTACATCACATTATATGAAATATATCCTATTACAACATATTACATCACATTATATGAAAATATATCATATTACAACATATTACATCACATTATATGAAAATATATCACACTACAACATATTACATCACATTATATGAAAATATATCATATTACAACATATTACATCACATTATATGAAAATATATCATATTACAACATATTACATCACATTGTATGAAAATATATCATATTACAACATATTACATCACATTATATGAAAATATATCATATTACAACATATTATATCATATTAAATGATATTATAACATATTATTATTCATATTATATGATATTAAATCATATATCACACTACATCATATTACATCACATTATATGAAAATATATCATATTACAACATATTACATCACATTATATGAAAATATATCATATTACAACATATTACATCACATTATATGAAAATATATCACACTACAACATATTACATCACATTATATGAAAATATATCATATTACAACATATTACATCACATTATATGAAAAATCTATTACAACATATACATCACATTATATGGAAAATAGATCAATTTTACAACATTTTATATCATATTAAATGATATTATAACATATTATATCATATTATATGATATTAAATCATATATCACACTACATCATATTACATCACATTATATGAAAATATATCATATTATATCATATTACATCACATTATATGAAAATATATCACACTACAACATATTACATCACATTATATGAAAATATATCATATTACAACATATTACATCACATTATATGAAAATATATCATATTACAACATATTACATCACATTATATGAAAATATATCATATTACAACATATTATATCATATTAAATGATATTATAACATATTATATCACATTGTATGATATTAAATCATATATCACACTACATCATATTACATCACATTATATGAAAATATATCATATTACAACATATTACATCACATTATATGAAAATATATCACACTACAACATATTACATCACATTATATGAAAATATATCATATTACAACATATTACATCACATTATATGAAAATATATCATTTTATATCATATTAAATGATATTATAACAGATTATATCATATTATATGATATTAAATCATATATCACACTACATCATATTACATCACATTATATGAAAATATATCATTTTATATCATATTAAATGATATTATAACATATTATATCACATTATATGAAAATAAATCATATTACA